CTGGATTAATAAATTGTAGGTAGACAGATGACGAATAGGTATATGATAGATAAAATAGAGATATAAGCTCTCTCTACACATACATATCTACAGACATATCAATATCTAGATATGTATATCTGTATCTATATCTGTATTTATCTTATCTACAGCTATTGGTATAAATAGATAATGACTGACTGACTGACTGATTTTTAAGGAATTATCTCCTGTCATTACAGAAGCTAGTGAGTCTGAAATAAGTAGGGCAGCCTGGAAATTCAAATATTAGTTGATGTGGCAGTTTTAAGTCTGAATTCCGCAAGGCAACGGGCTGGAAATTCAAACTGGGTTTCTGTGTTGCAGTCTTGAGGCAAAACTGCTTTTTCTTTGGGGAACCTCAGTCTTTGCTCTTGAGGCCTTCAGCGGATTGGGTAAAGCCTACCCACAGTATCAAGGATCATTTCTTTTATTTAAAGTCAACTGATGGTAGATGTTCATCACATTTACAAAGTCCCTTTACAGCAACATGTCCAAGAGTATCTGACCAAACATCTCGGTTCCAAAGCCTAGCCACGCTGACACTTGAAGTGAACGATCCCTGCTGGTTTAGATTTCCTCTCTCTGGAATGCCACAGGGTGAGAACAGTTCTCTTTCCCCACAGGACAGCTGTGCAGCTTTCATCAGCCTGCTACTCCTGAGCCAGAGGGGGCTGCATTCAGTAGGGCGGAGGGCCCAGGGGAAGAGCACACAGAGCTAGCTGTCCAGTGGTTCTCAAGATCAGCCTTTTCCTGCTAGAATTCCCTTGAAATGGCAACTTCAAGTTTCAGGTCTGTTCTCTAAACCTAGGGCAGAGGGGATGGGCATGGCAAAACTGTTCAAAGTCACACTAGGAAAAAGTTTAAATACAATTTACACACATTGAAATGCTCAGCTCCCAACTGGACTCTTCCATAAGTTCTATGAATATCTATCAAGACACAGAGCATTTTCACAAGCAGAAAGATGCCTCTCCCCTCCTCAGTCAATCCTCTCACTCATATTAAAATCTGATTTTGAAGGTCTTAAGATGGAACAGAAATATACTTTTATCAATTTTGCTGTTAAAACAGGTTTTGGCAGCTGGCTCTAAGGCAGCTGTAAGTATAACATGACGTCGTGGGATCCAGCTCTTTGCATTTCAAGCTCCTCTACATGGGAAAAAAATTCCCAGGACATAAAATCAACTTCTGGCCAACATGGTAGACTATGGAACATGCTGTGCTCACCTCCTTCCAGGACCACGTCAAAACTGCAGCTAAATTATAGAACCACCACCCTTCAGAACCACCTGAACACTAGCTGAGCAGAGCTCTTATAACTAGAGCTATAAAGAAGCAACACGAGACTGAATTATGAGAAAAGCAAAAAATTACCAACATCAGTAAAAAGGAGATAGCTGTACAGATTCTATATTATTGAAAGTATTATTCTAATACACTTGAAAATTTAAAAAAATAAGGCAACGACCCCCCCCCCCCCAAAAAAAAAACCCATAAATAACAACAGGCAAAAGAAAGCAATAAAAATAATTCCATTTTGGTAGTCAACTAACAAACCACCGGGATTCTGCCAGAATAAGTCAATGTGCTGTGGTGTCTCCTAATGCAAAGAAATGTCTCCTGGGCTCAAATGCCTCTTGAGTTCTAAATCTCATGACCTGAATGAGCATTCTTCAGGGGGTAGTGTCTGTATTTTCTATAGAAAAATGTTTTTGTCTTCATCAGAACTTCTTGGTTGATTCAGAAAAATGGTACTTAGAATGTAAGTGTCCTGCTTCATCAAAGCTCCATAAGACAAAGGACAAGTTCAGGGACATAAAGAGCTACGTGAAATTATGAAAGAATACAGATGTTCCTCACTTGACCTGCATCTGACAGATGTGCATAGAGTCTTGTTTTTGCCACAATAATCCCAAGTAAACTGCAATGTCATTATGTTAAAAAGGAAGGAAAAAATTTTCAACTTCTCTGAAAAGTCTCTGCTGGAAGCTCTTTCCCACACTTTGGAAACTCCCACCACCAGCTGACATAGCCCCCTTACTTCTGTGAAAATTTCCTCCTTAAAATATACACCAGGAACACATTTGGGAAAAAGAGGGCATTGGGTTAATTTGAAATACACCTTGATGTCCTTTGTTTCTTTTCTTTCCTAAAACGGTATTTCCATGCATGGGTGTGGAAGGATGGATGGATGGTTGGGGGCTCATGACCAAGGTGCAGGCACCCCCTACTGGGGAGGCAAGTAGGAGACTGCAGGCCTCGAGAGAGTGAGGAGCTAGGGGACTGCTAATATTTCCAGATGCATTTCCCACTGAAAACACAGGGAATTAAAAACCAAAACAATCAACAACGACACACTTGGAATCAGGCATAAGGGTTTTGTGAAATTTAAGAGAAAAGGATGCCAGGTAAAGGACAAATACAAAGCTCAATCTGTGAATAAAACAAACCATTTGCAACAAACCATTTCTTGACTTCATTATAACATGGGAATACACTGCTAAGGAAAGCCAGAAAGAAAAAAAAAAAAAGGAAGATGAACTGACAGTTTATGGAACTGTATTTATCTTTAATTTTTCTCATGCTTGTTTCTCTAAATAGAAATTAGTTAAGCATTTAAAAATTGCAACCAAATCCAGAAAACTTATTTCCTCATGCAAATAGGCTTTATAAACAAAAAGGTGCATTAAAATATTATTCTGGGTGATGGCCAAGATGATTGGAGTTAAATTCCATTCTCTTAAAAAATACAAAGTGGGAAAGGTCAAGAGTGAGTGAGTGCCTTACCGATTCTATTTTCTGCTCCACTGCCAATGGAACAAACAGATTTTCAATATGCAGATAAAAGCTGGCCCTTGGTGGCAGGCACTCAGAGGGGCAGAGCGAGTGGGGGTGTGTGAGCGCCCTGCACGGACTGTGCGTGTCACGCTTTCCTGTCTTCCGTGAGGGGGGCTCCCCAGTACCCTTGCTTCTTGAATATGAGTCACTGGGAGATTCGCATTCTAAAAGCTAGCCTGCAAAAGGTGCTCATGACCTTTTGTAATGCACTTCTTTGCATTTTAAGGTGGGGACCAGGATTGTGTTTAGTTTTCTCCAGCATCTCTTCCCTCAGCTGATCACATGCTCCGGAAGAGACCTGACCCTTGAGTCCTGCAAAAGAGATCCCAACTCTATTCTAGATGTTTCCACATTAACAAGATTCTGGAGGAAGTTAACATCCTACAAATAGCAGGTTCTCCCCCACCTCAGAATCCCTTTCCTCATCTCCTCAATGTCCCCAGGGAGAGATCAAAGCAGAACCTCGAGACAAACCGTGCCAGCCTCTGAATTCTTGATTGGAGCTTCCCAAAATCGCAGTGAGGCTTGCACCATGGACTTGGTAGGCACATGGCTGCCCCAGCCTTCCCCCAGCCCACCCCGACCTTCCCCCTGGCCAGATCTGGTGTGGGGGCTGACAGGGTGCTCCACCTAGCAGCACAAACTCTGGTAGGCTAAGTGCCTTTTCTGTGAAAAATTTTTTCTCTTTCTCCAGAAACATTTTTTCCCCCCTGAAAGGTGAAGCACCGAAAAGTACACAGGGAGGAATACAGGTCAGAAGGCCTATCGCCCCACAGAAACATTGAGTATGATTCACCAACAGTATTTCAAGAAAGTTTCTGGAGGTCAGATTTGCTTTGTCCAAACATTTGCAAACATGACTGTCATTTTCTATTAACAGGAAGTGAGATCTTGGGTTGTTTGCTAGAGGTTGATGGGCAGGGCAAGGTGGGGCTTTCCCTACTGTATGTGGAAGGTGCCCTGGGAGAGGGAACTCTGGTTTTGGTCTCGCCTTTTGGCAATTGTTTTGCCAACTTCCAGCCCCCTTGCACTAACTAGTCCACGCAATCAGGGTGGCCTTAAATAGATATTACAGTATGGAACAAAAACAGTAATGCAGTTACCTGACACACTCAGGGGTGTTCACCATGCAGCCCAGCACAAAAATCATGTTTACTTAAAACCTTTTTTTTTTTCTCATCAGTTTTTGTTTGTGTATTTAATGTGTGGCCCAAGACAACTCTTCTTCCAGGGTGACCCAGTGATGCCAAAAGGTTGGGCACCCCTTTGAGGTCACATAAAAATCACACATTCACCGCCTCTAAATTTCAACCCCTTAAACATTACTAGGTGTTTTTTTTCTTAAGAGCTGTTAAAAACTTTAAATGCGATTATTCTTCAAAACTTAGAGTGGCTACTTCATTTGAGGTTTTGGTGCATCTTTATTAGGGTTGGTTTTAAGAATCCAACCAGTGTTCAGGGAATCATAAAGCAGGCCCGAGTGAGGAGCTGAGGCACGCAAGCCGCCACGGGCTGAAAGCTGTGTAGAGGCCTCAGGCCCCGTGATACGCCACCTGCCGGCCAACCCTTCACTCTAGAACTGTGAGCCCTGCAGCTGGGGACAGCCCTGAGGGGCAGACGTGCACACACACACACACGGCCCCTGACTCCAGGTCAGGCATCCTTCTCCTCCCTCTAGCATCTAGGATCCCAAGGCCAAAGGGTCAGCCCTCCACACTTAACTTCCTGGCACTTTTGGCTTCTGAGGGGAACTCCCTTTGAACAGCTGAGTACGACTCAGCTCTTCATAAAACCTGGAGACTTCCCTTCATCAGGGGACACCTGATGTTCCCACCCTAGGGGACAACTTTCAAAGGGAAACATGGGCATGTAGGACCCAATTCCATACCAGAAGGCGAAGCAGAGAAGGGAGAGGAGCACAGGCCCTCGCATTTTGCCACCCTCGGGGATTAAAAGAGGTGGAGGAGTGGGTGTGGGCCTGCGGTTCCTGCCCCATGCGGAGTAGTTGGGAGCGAGCATCCCCATCCACCCAAGCCACCCTGCACAGGGGAGGGGTGGGGCAGACAGAGGCTACTGCCAGGAGCCTGGCACAGAGCCGGCCCCGGAGAGCAGGGCCTGAGTGACAGGGATGGAGACTGACATTCCAGTGTGTGACCTGTTTTAATTTTTAATTTACTACTCGCATACAACACATGATTAACATGAAAAGATTAGGTAATAAAATACATTGGATTACAATTCAAACTATTAAAATGAATATGTAATAATACAAATTTACATATAAAATCATGACAATCAAGAGGGGCAGTTACTCTTTGAGTGCCAAAGGTGTGCTGGGTTCAGGGTGTGCATTTCGGCACCCTGTTCTCTCGAGTTTTGCCAGTTGTACACTCACGATGTAGGGTGAGATTTCCTCAGAGCAGCAATTAATGACTATTTGTTAAGAAAAAAAATATTCTTCAAGACAACACACCAAAAAAGTAAAAACAGGGACTAGATTCAGTTTGAGACGGTGGGAGGCAGTTACCAAGCCCTCCCCGCTTCCTCCCAAACTGCCACTGAAATGAACCAGGAAGGGGAACAAGGGGACAGCCTCTGTAAGGAGTGGCCGGGAGGGCAGAGCCCAGAGCAGCGGGCGGGTGCCCAGGCAGAACAGGGTGGCAGCAGCTCTCAGGGTCCCCAGCTGCTGGGGGTTCCCTCCACACCACCAGATTCCCGGTCTGGAATTTGGTGGGTCTGGGGTGAGGCCATGTGCCCTTTGAGAAATCCTGGTCTGGGGACCACCCAGGAAGGCCTCCCCGCCCTCACCCCCTTGGGCACAGAGCCCTTGGGGCGGGGTGCTGGGCAGCACCACCTTTCCCAGCAGGGAAATCAGAGGCCCACCTGGCCCCAAGTGTAAACCCTGGCCCAAGGGGACTGGGAGGCAGGGGAAGCCCAAGGTCCAAACATTGTTCACAGAAACCCGAAGTCCGTAAAAGCAAGCAGACATTTTCATTTTCATAAAATTGAGTTGTAGCATCTCTCAGTGATGCCTCACCCACAATTCTTTGTTTACACAGAACACTTTAGCTGAGCTGCACACACACACACACACACACACACAGAGTTTATTAAGACAGAAATGTCATGGTATAAAAGTACGTCTTCCTTAAAATGCTCTCCTCCAGGGGCAGGAAAAAGAACTTCCTGTTTGTTTCACAATGAAAACTGAGAACAATAAATTTTTCTAAGCAGGTTTCAGGCAAACAGACAACTGTTTACGGCTGCCTTACCTTCAAAACTCCCAAACTTCCCCAAATCTCTCACACACTCAACGAACCCTTTCTTGCGTCTGTAGTCTTAGGTTGACTGAACTCACATTTATAAGCTAGATCCACACTATAGATTCTTTATGGTTCTACAGGAAAATGTGCTGGAAATGGTACCTGGAAACAACTGAGTGTGTCGATGTGTGCAGGATGACTTGACTGCTCGAACACACAGCCGGTCCCGATGCTCACGCAGGCTTCCCACCCAGTATCGCTTACCCACTTGCCACTGCTGTTTTTCTGGTGAAAGCGTTTTACTTTAGGATCATTAAAAAATATCCAGGAAAGCGTCTGAACAAATAGGCAAAGTATTTCTTTTTTTGGGGGGGAGGGGGCATATTCTCTCAAATACCATTATTTAACATGTTACCCTTTCGCATTTACTCCTGGAGATACCGGGCCCAGGTGGTGGCACTAACTCCCCTCAACAAACGAAGTACGAACCGAAACAGCTCCCTGACAGCAAGGGTCTCAGGCTGCAGACTGTGTGCACCTAGGTGTGTCCCAGGCAAGGCCCCGTTTTCTGGCAGCTGTAGTTCAAGGGCGAGTCTGCAGTGCCCTCTAATGGCCATGGTGCAGCTCTTCCCACCCCTAAGAACAGATCCTGCTCGCTGTTGCTACACCCTCTCTTAACCAAGTATCGGATGTCACACAAGCCGCCTCAGGGTGGGAAATTACAGCCTGAAGCACCTTCTACGGGCCAACTCTGCACTCATGAAGAAAAGTCGGACGTCCTGGGGAACATGCGTGGGGGAAAGGTTCCAATGTCCAAAAAGATCACTGAGACACGCCCACTGTTCACCCCCAGAGCCATGGCCTCATCCGGAGCAGTTCTGTAGGCTGCTGGGCTGTTCCCACCACAGTGGTCACACCAGAGCTGGCCTGAGAACCTATGTGCTTCCTGGTGCAGACCCCTACGCCAGCCTAACGTGGCACCCAGCTCTAGGTCCAAATGTTTGTTCAGAATTTCTTTTTAAGTGAGAAAACCCCACAATGTTCTGCTTGAATACCTGGAATTTAATTTATGAACAACTTAAAACTGCTTCACCCTCTGAGAATGACAAACAGCGCCAATGGCAAGTTCAGGCCTACTTACCATCATCAGGTCACAAAACAGAGCAGATGACGACAAATTCCACACACCAAAGGGTCAAAAGAATGGCAACCAGCAGAAAATGTCAGGTGTTACCTATCCTCCACCAAAACCAAATAAAACTGCTGAGGCTAAAAAAAAAGTATTTTGAACAGCTTTGACAAATCCATCCACTAGGCAAATTTTCTAAACACTGCCTGCTGACCCGCTCTTCTCTTCCTGACTTCCTGTTCACTTTGCACACCTCTAGGCCAAATGTGATGGGAGATGCTCGCTGAGGTCACCACATCCACAGGATGCAAAACACAGTCATCACCTGGCAGGTTTACCTCACCTGACTTGGCAGCTTCAAGCATAGCTAATGCCCACCTTCTTGCCTCTGGCAAGGGAAGAGTCGCCAAGGTACTACTACTACACCACCACCTCCTGCCCTAATGCTGTTTCCTCCTCTGCCCTCTGGGATGTTACTGTACTTTTCTTCCTAGGCGTGCGCGCGCGCGCTCGCACACACACACACACACACTCACACACACTCTCTCTCTCTCTCACACACACACACACAGCTTTAAATAGCCCCCATACATTATCAGCTTCCTAACTTCTGCCCTATCTGGTCTGTACTCCAAACTGGCCTGTAAAGGCTGCCTGTTGCCTCCACTTGGCTGTCTTACAATGTCCAGGTCCCAAATCAGCACCTAGGATTTTTGTTTTCTACCACCCACCTGTGCACCTGTACCCAACCCACGGAACCCAACTCAGTAACCTTGACTTTTGATTCTTACCTGCCCCTCATCCAAATTCAGGAACTTAGCATTGATTCTACCTCCAAGAGATATGTGAAATTCATCTAACACCATAATCTCTCCCCTACCTCCTGACAGGTCCCTCTGCTTCGCCCCTTGCCCTTCTCACACCCCTTTGCCACAGAGCAGCTCCAGTGAACTGTAATCTCACAGGACACCTCTGCTCAGTCTGTGAACAAGCCCAGGGCTGCCCCAGTCCCAGGGACTGGCATAATCTGTACCATCCGACAAACGACACTTGAACGGTGTGTTCTGGCTGTATCAGTCAGCCACCTTCTCGCACAAGAAAGGCTCTTTCCTTCCAAAAGCCTCACTTACCTGTCTGGGAGGGACACGTGTCCGCTACTCTCAAAGCTGGCTCCCTTTTCTCAGCTCCTAGCTCAAGTGTTGTCTCCTCAGAGGGACCCTCCTTGATCAACACCTAGAAAGAGCAATGTCTACTACCCTGCTATCCTACTGCAAACCCCCACGTTTTCTCACCAAACTCACCAAAATTTTCAACCGTTGATTTACTGGGGTAATTGCTTAGGGTTTTCCTCTACTAACAGATCACAGGTCTTCAGGGACTTGTTGCTTGCGGTCTGCTCACCAGCTCCTCTGGTGAGGCACCGGTGCAGAGCGCACGCTCAAGGAATCCTGGATGAACGCACCAACCAAAAACTTCCGAGGGGTTACACAGAATTGTTCATACATCTCAGTTTTTTTGCTATAATTAATTTAAAAACACAAAGGAGTAAAATATTTGTCAAATATAATTTGAAAAGGGCAGCAACTGTAATTCAACAAACATATCCAATCGTAAGTGCCGATGAACACTTAATTATCTGGCGTCTGATACGACCCAGAGCATCTCGGAGATACTCAGAAGGGTGAAACACTGGCAAAGCAGCACGTGCCTGCCCTGAAGTGGAGTCTCCTTTGGAATGGCTGTCTTCTTCTATCTGCAGCAAAAGTGGGAGTAACACCAAGCATCATCTTTACTGATCAGAACAATAATGTACATGGCTTCCTTTTATTTTTTATTATAAAAAAACACATACAAGAGATTTAGGAAATGATGAATATAAGACAAATCAGGACCACGGAGAGCTGTTGAACCCATTCCCTCTGTACAAATACTAAAATTCCGAAAGCGGAACATCATCGAATGTGACACACATCATCACGTGGCACTGTCCGCAGGCTGGCGGCCGGGACCCTGCGCGCCCGTCTCCGAGTCTGCACGTGCACGCCATGGAGGCAGGGCCTGCAGAGCCTTCTGCTCCTCACTCTCCTTTTCCTGACAGAGAGTTAACTAGTTTAAAGAACTTTCGTTAAGGAACTCCTGTGAAGAAAATGCATTACGGTGAGTTTCTAGAGGCTCCCCCGTGTTTACTCGGATCAGCTGCACACTACACCTTGAGAAAAACTTCTGTAGCCCACTTCCAGCTGAGATCGCGGAAGAGTCTTCTAGTTCTTTTTTAGCCAATATAGTTTTTCCTAGTCAGTCATTTAAGCACAAAGGCCAGAATAAACTCAGGAACCAAATCAATGCTTTCATATTAAATTCATTATAAAATGCCACTCAATTTCAAAAAGCGACTGAAAGGACACTTTCTGCAGCAAAAAGGGCTAAATTCAAGTTTTTGTTGTTTGACCAAGACACAACACAATCCCTACGTCATGTAATCACAACAGCCTTACGTGATTTGAGCATGTGGTTTGGGGGAACACAGCTGTGCAGCTGCACATTTTCCCCGCCTCCTGGCCACACAGTGAGGAGAGCCTCTTGGCATTTTCTCTTTTGCATCTTTCCTGTGAAACCTTCGTTTACATTTGGAAAGCTCATTAATCTGTTTATACTCAAGACATGTGAAGGCACTTCTCTAGGTGCAGTGGCGGGCGGCGGTTTAGCCGAGCTCCCCTGCACACAATGCACTGACTTCCTCCAGGGAGCTGACCACTGCAGAGGGGACGCTGTGCGAGGTCTCTCTGCGCCAAGCTTCCAGGATCTTGGATATCTCTGCTGGATTGCTGGGGCTCAAGTCGCAAAGGGCGTACACGGCTGCCAGCTGTATACCCCACGGTATATCTGAAAAGAAGTTTCACATCCATCATCACAGAAAAACAGGTTATTCAAAAATTTAATGGTGTAATCTACTGAATACTATTCAAAAACAGAATGCTTTCTGCCAGCAATGAAAACTAAATATAAAAGACTAGATCCCTAATGAAAAAATTAAGACCTGTCTACAAGGAGGGGAAAAACAAAAGGAACAAACGCAGAACAGCTCTGTGCAGGCTCCCAGGGCTGGCCTGGGTGCCGAGAGCGGCCTGCGTGCTCCTGTCGGGCCCAGCACTGGCCACACAGGGCTTGCCCCCTCACCACCAACACGGGCTACGCTTTCCAAAGCAGTTCTGGAAGCACCAAACTCCAATGTTTATCTTTTAAGGAAATGTGAATCTCAAAGCATTCATCAAATAAATGACTCCATTTAATATCCACTGGAAGAATTTATATAGGGACTTTGGAAATGAAAAACATGATGAAATGAGAACAAATGAAAAACTATCCTTGTACCACGCTTTCCTATACCGGGTTATAGTGTATGATTATAAATTATACCACATAACTACAAATTATAGCTAGGTTATAGATTATGGCATATTAATTAGAGTTCTCATTTAACATAAGTTTATTTAGGAGTTATTTAACTGCAATTTAATTTAGTTAAATTTTAGCTAGTCTGTTGCACTGAAAGACTTTAGGTGAAAAATTCAGGAGTTATTTCATTAAAATTTATTATTAACTATATTATTTTAGAGTTCTATCATTGATGGGACTGATGCCCAACAGGGCAAACTACTACTATTTAAAATAAACAAAAAATCACAAAACCCACACATTCACATGTTAATGCTGAAAATGGAGGTAGTACTGCGGCTTTAAAATTACTTCCCCCTAATCTACAAAGCAATTAGAGAAACAGAGTGGGGCTCACACACAGACCTAAAAAAAAAGTCTAAAGATAAAAGAAACAGTGATTAAAAAAAAAAAACAACTCTAATAATTTCAATAAGCAGGAAGGTGTGGCACTGGGTAAAGAGCTGGGACTCTGACTGAAATGTCCGTGCTGAGAGTGCAGCCAGATTGCAGCTTTTAAAACCGCCCTGACCTCCTCAGCTATCCTGCAGCGAGACAGGCAGAGCACGGCACGCAGGCCTAGTGAGGACACAGTAAGGTCTAGTGCGAGGCATGCAAGTGATTCATGAACAGAAGTGTTACCTTCGTCCTGGGCATGCTGTATGAACATACCAATAACTGAACTAATGTTTTTCACAGCAGATGGGAACCCTTCCTTCAAACCCAGTTGACCTAAACGACCTAGGAGAAAAGAAAAATAAAACCAAATATAAATAATCTTTGGCTAAATGTAGATTAACCTTTCTTAAGAATTTGAAATTTGTTCTTTCATAAAATATTATGTACATTAGGTTTAATGACCTTGAACTGAAGTTAAAATGGGTACCCCTATTCTTAAGTGAAAACAGGTTAAATAGTTAACGGGTCAGAACTCAATAAAGTACCATTTGTCTTACAGGAGTGATCAAAAGGAATAGTCATCTCTTTTATTCACACATACACATGGTAGGTGATGCTTTACTTTCTCGGTGAAGTTAAAATAAATGAAGGGAATTTAGAAGAATGAGTGGTTTCAGCCAGATAGAACTTAGATAGGAGGAAGATACATTTCCTTTATTTTATGAATAGTCAGTGTGTGACTTGCTGATACTATTAAATTATGCTCTACCAACTAAATTATTCACTAAATTCTTTTGTTAATGCTGGCTTCAGAAACTCCAAGACAAGAAGGTTCTCTAGAACTTTTCTCCTTAGAATCAGTTCAAACTCCAAGTTGACTAGGTACATGCGGCAGGGTACACGTACATCCAACCCTAACACCACTTCTCAGGACTCCACCAGGTCTGAAGAGTTTGCCTCACCTGTATGTGCCCTTCCTCTCAGCCATTTCCCCCACACTATGCTCTCAGCACCTATCAACTGCTTTGTCTGGGTCAGCCTTCAGTGCCGCCAGACAACCAGGGCAAGCAAAGCTTAGCCACAGCTAGAACCACCCAGCTGTCCCTCCAGCCCTCTCCACACCTGCTTTTTCTCAGGCACACGAGCTCAGCCTGCTCTGGTCCACCTGCAGGCCTACGCAGGATTCTCTAGTCCTGACTGCTCTGATTTTCGGGACTACGCTTCCTATCTATCCATCCCTTGAACCACATTTCTGTATTTACACACTACCAATAATTCTCATATAGAAGTGTATTAAATATATGCAACTCTTAATTATGTAATTACATAAGTATTACTCTGAATAGTACATATTATTAAATTTTACAAATTATTTTCTCAAAAGCCAGAATTTAATGATTTAAAGAATAAACTAGCCTGAGTTTGACTAAAACTACAAGTCAGGTTTTCTCCCAACAATTATACATTCTAATTTTTCGATAAACAACTGACACATTCTTCTTAATTCTCATATAGGTTACTTTTAAGATATATAATTAAAAGTACTTATATAATCTTGTATAGTTATGTGGGGAGCCAGAGAATCTGTATTCTAAAAAAGCTCCTCAGGCAATCTGGGCGATCAGCTGAACCTGATAAGCACAGATTCACACCAGCCGCCTGAAGGCGAGAACCACACGCAGGGCTGCCCCTTGGCCAGAGCTGACCGGAGAGAAGCTGCTTCCATGCAGTAGAACAGCCAACCGCCAGAAACTTGAGCTTCCACTCTCACGTCCTCTCTTGTTACAATCAACAAATACATAAACACACACCACTGCCAGAGTAGCCGGAAAATCTGTATCATACTCTGTAAGTGTGACTTCAAAAAGTGTTCTTTTGAAAATCCTATAGATACTTCACCTAGGTCAACATGTATTATAGACTTAACATCTCTCCTAATTTCTTAAATTCTCAAAAAGGTTTTGTAATTTAAAATGAATTAGTTCAAAGTGAGAACATTCTTGAGTCCACAAGAGGGGGCGCTACTGACACCAGAATTCCCAGACGTGCAGATGCCCCGACTGCTGAAAATGCCATCAGTGGCTCTTCCGTGTCCCACTGCTTCCTACTCGGCACTGAAATCGTTCTTCAGGGTCTCTTAAACTGAGGAATTCAGCAAAATGTGTTTTGAGATATTAACTCACCGAGTAGTTTATTCATTTCAACTTTTGTGCCTTTATCTCCTAATTCCAAACAAGTCTTTAGCAAGCCTTCACTTCTCACACCGTCTTGTTTAATAACTTACACGTGAAAATTGGATGTCTACCTAGGTTGTTTTAAATCATTTTGTATTTACTTAGCACTGTGTTCCCATGTCTGCGTGTAAAATATGCACAGAGTAGAAATGTACATTTGCTGGAACAGTGACAAAACTAACCAGAGATAGTATGTTTCCTACTGTGACCTATTTACAGACTTACATAAATATTCTCAAACTTTACTTCAAATGGTATTATCTTGAAGTTTGAATTAAATAAACTCCAAAGAAACCTAAGACTCATGGTAACTGTGGTCAGGTACCTAGGGGCCTTACGTAAGTCAGATGAACCTTGTGGTGTGTGCTCAGGGGCAGTGAGCACGTGCTGCAGACAGAGAGGTCCGCGGAAGTACAGGGCCTGCTAATAACGAACAGAGCTCATCTCTGGTCATTGTGCAGAGTCTAGAGAGCAGATTGTCAGAGATGAAGGAAAAAGGGGAAAAATAGGTAAAACTTTAAAGATCTGTGGTTTTAGGGAGAAGAAGACCCAAATGCTCACTGAGGTCCTTCTTGATTAGATCTGTGATGAAAGTGTGTGTCCCATTTAAACAGTGGTTTAATTTCTGTATATTCAGCCTAGAGGAGAACAAAGCTGGATCCCAGCTATGGAAGTACACAAGGTGATCCTTACAGGGCAAGTACGAAAAACATATGGTATGAAAACAGTAAGAGACAGCCTTATTTTAGAAACCAAATGAGAATACAGTACAATTTATAGCAATTTATTTATTCTGGTGTGTATATTCAAGTGTGTACATGTGTTTATATTAATATTAGTACTTGAGAAGCAAGAGTTCCATTATAAATAAAACATACTAATATTAAAAACTTTTATCTCTGACAAAGATGGATAAAAACAATTATTTATAAAGAAAGACGCCCTGGCTGGCATAGCTCAGTGGATTGAGTGCAGGCTGTGAACCAAAGTGTCGCAGGTTCGATTCCCAGTCAGGGCACATGCCTGGGTTGCAGGCCACGGCCCCCAGCAACCTCACATTGATGTTTCTCTCTCTCTCTCTCTCTCTTTCTCCCTCCCTTCCCTCTCTAAAAATAAATAAATAAAATCTTAAAAAAAAAAGGAAAAAAGAAAGACCATGAGTAAGGAGAATGGATTAAATGCAAAAGTATCTACTCTAATGATTGCAAAATCAATCATTATGGTGACGTTTCAGCTAACATACACAATCATATACTTGTTCTCTCACCAAGAATATCATCAAAAACACAAAAAAAATCGAATCAGAGAGAAACTCACCAATCAGCCTTAGTATCGAGGCTATGATGACATCAGGAATATACGCAATGTTCGCATGTCCTTTTCTGTGTTTTATCCACTTATCCATCACAGGCCACAGCTCCTTACTGTAAAGTAACAACAATACACATGTGTATATGAAAGTATGAATGCTCATCATCACCAAGTATTAAGAACTTATCTTAAAAATGGTCTGTAAGAGACAGTCAATTAGTGAACAAGAGAAACTTTTGAAGGTGTCACTTTTTAAATTAAGATGAGAACAGACACTGGAAGTTCACAAACTCTGCAAATATTTGGGATATTTGTGCCCATGCTGACTTAAAAGAGGCTACAAACACCCATGATTGCATCTTTGTTCTGTTTTAACCTTTTTTTTTTTTTTTACAAGACTTTGCACAGAGAGGCTGAACAATGCCCCCAAGTCACAGAACTGGAAGAGAGGAATCTTGACTTTCACTTTGGCCTTGCAGACAGTAATGCAGCTCCTGTGTTCTAATAGCCAACAGCTTCCGTGGGAGGAGCAGGGATAAACAGGCTGTTTTGTAAAAAGAACTAAACCATCAGAAATAATAATTTTAAAAAACCCACTTTCAATGAATTAAAGAAACTTTCTAATCTCAAAAATCAGTGCCAATTCCCTTCTACTTTCTCTTTCAAAAATGTGTTTACTTCTTGGACAGTATTTATATTAGAAAAGGTAAATGCAGACAAACAAAAGAAAAATGTAAACCAAAAGCATCCCAACTAACAACACATGCTCAGGTAATTATCACTATTCTAATTTTGGGCTCCGTTTCCATGCACTTCTACGTGTGTGTGTGTGTATGTAAAAAACGTGGTGGAAGTAACCACAATGTTCAGGAATCAGGGTCTGGAGTCACTCCCACAGATGTCCTGATATTCGACACTCTGTCCTCACCACCTGTGGCAGGACCTTCAACAAAACACCTCCGAATGGCACCATCCCTGGTGGTCTCCATCCAGTCACTGGGGATAGAGGGGCCCAGGTAGGCATTCACACATCATTCCACAGAAGGATGGATAGTCTGTTCACTTTCTTAGCTACTTCCATGTCAATACATAAAAATCCATTTATAGTTCTTCTAATATGGCTGTATTTCGTTATATAATTCAACTCCCCATTGCTGACATTTAGATGTCTAATCATTCCCTAGTGTTAAAGAGGAAAAAAAGGAACCAATTTCTATACAATCAATTCCTCCAGCAGGTATCTTCAAGGATATGGACTATCAATCCTTGGTGAATCCCTTTCAATGTCATCATAATTGCCTTCAAACCAGACTTCCTCAGTCAGAATTCCAAGAAAATTAAGAACCACAGAACAGAAATTTGACTATCTTCTTCGTTTTTCTGAAGATGGCACATAGCCAGTGTCAGAATTCTAGATGTACAGAGAGAAGTTAATTCATCACTTATTTCTCTCCTGAAACCCCCAATGAGAAGAGCTGTTAAGCTGGAATTTTGAACACTTCTGTTCATGTGGGGTTTTCCAGAGTATCTGTATGCTAAGACAATGGTCATCATGTTCCATGTCACATGTTTACTGGCGCTGCCCCGTACGCTGCGGTATGCCAGTGAACCAAAGGGCCTCCCTCATGAGTCATTTCTCCTTCGGGGAGGCAGGAGCAATGGACTGTAATGAACAGCAGTAACAAGTACCACAGAAAAATAAAACAAGGAGATGTAATAGTGAGACACATACTTTAAGGGTAGTTTTATTATCTCTTACCCAGATCACAATGCCATTTAGAAATGTTTCCGCTGCCTTAAACAGCAAAAATTATTCAAACCACAAGTCAGCAATCATTCCATACACTGCCCCACAATTCAAATAACCCAACTGTACTGTAAGTTTAAAAATATCTCCGTACCTTATAATGTTATCATGTGTCCAAACCCATTTCTGATGGCAGCAGAGCAGATCGATGGCAAATATGTACTCCCAAGTGTTGTCACTTAGGTCTTCACCAAATCTTTCACTGGATTGAAATTCTGTTTTTGGACATAACTGTATGGTCAAAAGCAACTTAGAAACCATGAAGCCAACATCTGCAGGAGAATTCTAGCAACAAAAAAACAATTTAAAAATAAACAAAATTTATTAAGAGTTTCATTCAAGTGTAACACATTTTATGTAACCTCAGAGTAAAACAGATATCAGACAATCATTTAATTTTAAAGGGCACCTTCTGCAAGTTGTGTTTTGAAGAAGGAATTATGTTCATCTTACTTATGGCACGTGTCCTAAAGCAATGCTGGAATGGCGGCTGACAGGCCAGACAGAAAGCTCCAAGCATGAAGCGGAAACCCATCATGTAGAAAAGAGACTAGCTGCAATCCAGACTGGAATGCAGACTTTCAGGAACTCTCATCAGAGATTTAAAGTTATAAAGTTATAATAACAACTTTAAACTTTAGAGAACACTACACATTCTGTCATTTTGCTGACTCTAAATAGTCTCTTTATCCAGAAAGTCACAAAACTGAATGACAGTACTAGACACTTGTTACCTGTATTCTTTCCCACCTGTGCATGTTTTTAATATTTATCCAAGTTTTCCATGTACTGGTCTGAATGCTCCTTTTAATTGCTGAGTAGTAATCCATTATACAGATATACCACAGCTGATCCATTCACCCACCGATAGACATCCAGGTCATTTCTGGCTTTAGGCTACAGTTCATACTATGAGCATTCATGCACAAGTCTTTGTGTAGACATAAATTTGACTTCTCCTGGGTAATACCAGCAATAGAATTATAATTGTTTTCTTTCTTGTGTTGTTAGGTTTTTAATTTAAAATGAATAGGGACCTTTCAATCTTTTCTTATTTCTGAAAGAATGGGATTACTGGTTCTTTAAAGATGAGATAAAGCCCTGGCTGGTGTGGCTTTGTGGAAGGGATCACCAGCCTGCGAACTGAAGGGTGGCAGGGTTGGCTCCCTGTCAGGGCACATGCGTGGGTTGCTGGCCAGGCCCCCCCCGTCGGGGATGTGCAAGAGACAACAAACTGATGTTTCTTACCCTCTCTCTGAAAATAAATAAAATCTTAAAAAAAGTAAAGATGAGATTAAATTCAGGTGGAACCTACATATTTTCAGTGTAGTGCTTTTTAAAAAAAATCCTCTGGTGAGGATTTTTGAAATTGATTTTACAGAGACAGGAAGGGGGAGGGAGAGAGGGAGTGGACGAAAAGGAGAGACAGACAGACAGACAGATGCACACTGATGTGGAAAACACCGACTAGCTGTCTGCCACACACGCCCCGACCAGGGCTCTGACCCGAAAACGTCTGGTGTACAGACAGGACGACACTCCGACCAGCCGAGCCACCCAGCCAGGACTGTACAGTCCACTCTTAATCATTTTTCCTGCCTCCGTTATGATCACCAAAATCAACAGGTTTATTTAAATGTTCTACCCCCAAAACCAATTTGGTCAGTTTTATTTTGCTAAGAAATCACTCTAGGTTTCCAAATTGGTTGCTCTGGAGCTGTAGGTGGTAGTGCTCTCACTATCCTTTAAATTTAAATTTCTTCTTCATCAAAAATCCTGAATATTTTTGCTTTTTCCTTTTCCATTAATCTGAACTCTGAGCTACCAGTTTTGTATTTTTAAAGGCAACGTTTTTTCTTCTATGTGTTTTTTTGTTCTCTACTTGAATACTTTTATTACCTCTTAAACTAGACTCATTTTTTCTAGATTCCGTCTCAGCTTTTTAATTTTTAAGATTACCAGCCAACTTTATTTATTTGTTTAATAACACATTTAAACTTTCTTAATGAATATAGGCTTTCCAAAAACCAGACATCTTTGTTATGAAAGGTTTTCTTTTCAGTGACTTTGAAAAAATTGTGATTTCACTTTTCGATTTTCCAGGACTACACATTGAAAATTTCCAAGTTATTTTTATAAAATTTTAAAATTATTTTTGTCTAATTTTATTGATTACCAGAGAATTGTGAGTGTATAATCTTTACTTTGTTAAAAATTAAGGTTTCAGGTGGACAAACTCATGAATGGTTTTTGTAAATGTCTCACAGGCATATGAAAAAATACATATTCCTCATTCAAATTTACCTTTTATGTTACTGAATTCCACTCTGTCTTTACTGATTTTTGTCTATTAGATCTTTTGAATTCTTTAAGAGAATTTGGAAGTACTGCACCATAATAGTATTTTCTCCCCAAGTATTCCTTTTTTTTCATAGCTTTGACTTTATATTTTATTTAATCTGATACAGGGTAAATACATTTATTAAAATTCTACCTTATTCACAAATGTCTCTTATTATCAAATCATCACACCTGGCTTCATCCTGAACAGGCCAAAGGAGAAGGCTCCTTTGCACAAGTGGAGGACGACACAGGGGCCAAGTGGTCCTGCAGGCAGCCTGGGGAGAGTAGCCTTTTTCTTAATACGTAGTAACATCAGAAACTACTAACACAACAATCCAGATACTATATTAGCACATCAATTACTAAAGAAAACAAAGTAATAAAAGTAAACATGTGAATAAAATACTTGTAAGCAAATACAAATTCTATCAACTACAAAGAAAAATAAAGAATATTAGATTCAGAATAATCTCAACAACAAAAAAGTTGAGATACCAATTTTTTCACCTTTCTCAGCACCTACTGTAAAAGCAAATTATTTTCAGCTCTCTTAGGAGCTCTTACACACACATACATATCATCTCATTAGTCATATAAATTAGTGCTCAAAATAAACTTAAATTCTCGTAAAACACAGGTCTACAATTCTTCCCAAGGGGTCTCATGCATACTTAATGAACAAAATGCAAAAAGCTTAGGCTAAAATGATATTTTAAAAGATCTAATGCAAGGAACGTATTATTTCTAAAAGGCTCTGTCAACTAACACAAAACCTAACACAAAGCCAAGTAACATTTCCGTGAGCCCTACAAAGTATGGTATTACAAGAAGTAAAAATAAATCTCACCTTTTCCCAATTGAGAAATGCTCTCAAACAATTCAGAACCTCCCCTTTAGCACGTTGCCTGGCAACTAGCTGCATTGCCTTATTAATCACTGATTGAGAGATAAATATATCATGCCACATGTTTGCAATGAACAAAGTCAGTTTTTCTGACTCTGGGAAATCTGTAAGAAAGAAAATGAGATAGTACACCTTTATGTCTGATCAAATCAGTAAGCTGAGAATACATGTTAGTAATTTCACTTGTGCCTTGCAGGGCTTCCGACCCAATGAGGCCCAACCTCAGTTTACAAATCTGCTTCTCCTTTCCTTTCTTCCCTTTGGCAAACGTTCTTTAAATTTGAAACATAATACATGTGTGTATAAACCACTGTATGAAAAGAGTAATAAACTCTAAAACATGAAGAAGACAGAGCAACTAACCTCTCTCCAGCCTGCCCAAGTCCCAGAACCCTTCCACTTGGTTAGTGTCATTCTGGGCCATATTTTTGTGCATTTATAAGAAAACTCTCTTATAGAACACATAGAGCTTTTGATCTGAAGAGATATTTTTAAACAAATTATGAATGATAATCCTTTGTTGTAAAAATATCTCTTCCCACACTGTGGGCTTGGCCTTTCGTTCACTTAACTGAGGTATAACATACATACAATAAAATATACTCTTTAAGTAGACAGGTGGATTTTGACAAATGAATACATCCATATAAACCCCACCATATATCGAGAACACGGACAGCATCCCAAATTCCCAGGGACTGGCTTTCCCAGTGAATTACTTTATCCCAGATCCAGACAGCCCTGCTCTGTCTGCCGTCACCTTAAAATAGTCTGCCTAACTCACACGGAGCCCATGCTCCCCTTTCTGCCTGGCTTCCCCTTATCACAATGTTCCCGCAGTTCAGCCCTGCTGCTGTATGCATCAGCAGCCTCCTCCTCTGTTCAGGTGAGCAGTATTCCACCTGAATACAGCAGAAACATGACAAACAAAATTCCTGTCCTTCCACAGCATGTACGCTAATGGAGAAGTGAGACAGCAAATAAAAGAAGCGGGGTAAGTGCCCTGAAGGAAAAGGAGACCAAGGGATAGAGAATGACTGAGAAAGTATGTGAAATCACAGAGTAAGTCATAACAAAGTTGTACAGAAAGCTTCGCAAGAGAGAGACCTGTAACACAAGAACGTGACGTGAGAAGGGGCTGGTTGAGTTTGAGGAAAAGTCAGAAATCCAGCTGGTGCTAAGCAGAGTCACGCCCTCTCCTTTCTGCCACCAGCCGCTGATAAAACCCGTGTGCTTGTGTACTGTTTCCATGTACTGGCCCCACTGCATGGTCACATCTGGTTTTGGCTGCCACTGGAGCCCTGACCCATAATATTTGCATGCACCCACAATGTTTGTTGGATAAATCAGTGACTGAAAGACTAAACAAAGAAATAAAGTGGGCAATAAACACAGCAGCCTCATTCACGACTCTAGAAGTGATGGCTATATTCAATTATCCTGATTTATAAGCCCCACAAACATTATGGTAATAAAAGAATGTAAATGTTTGCAATCTAAATGAGACTTTCTGATATAATATTAAATTGCATTTTTATATCATTTTACTATTTAAAAATGTCTTCACTGATGATCTGATATAATGAAGAATGACTCCTAATCTGATTATCAGTGGAGACTGAAGGAATGGCAGTAAAGGGAAAAGAGAATCACAGGACAGCCCGCCTTTCCACTTCTAATAACCTTCTTTTCATGAGCTAATGAATCCACCTTGTATTTTCTGTCCTTTCCAGGTGATGACACAGCACTATTGTTTGTCACTTACTTTAAATCATTCCCTTATCTTGTTTCAACTACATCTGATTCTAAAGTGGCTGCACAAGGAACAGAACAAGCATACAGTAATGAGAGATCCCATATCTTACACAAGTGAAATGCTGACATTAAGTTTAAGACACAGACATTCTCCTACTGGAAATCAGGAATAGACAGGTATACTTATGGCTCTACATGCCCCCTGGTAAATGTACAAACGACTGCACAATTTAAAAAAATACACAGCAACTGCTTAGCTAAAAATACAGATCCAAGTATAAAGAGGTGAAAAAGCAACAATATGTTTTCAATACAAATAAGCCACCATGTGAACATACCTTCCTTAAGCAGGCTGTAGCAGAACAAGCGAGCTCTTTCCACGTCTCCAAGTTGCCGGCAAATACCCACGTACACTCTGCAGAGCGCATGAATGTAATTGTGCTCCAGAGATGTCTTTTGAAGTTTTAGTTCGGAGAGAATAGAATGAAGCAAGCACTCTGCTAAATGCTGGAGTGAGGGGAAAAAATGAAAAGGCAATGTACCCTGATATTTATCCTTAGCCACTAAAGAGAAGTCAAAAGTTACACAATTTAGTATCTACTAGAAAAATACAACGTGCACTCTATCAGAAAAGGTAGCAGAAGGCAGTAACTGGTAACGACTTGCTTAGCAGGTAAGCCGAGGGGCTCTGGGGAGTAAGTCCACATCTGTCAGCTGCCTGTGGTCAGTGGAGCTGCAGGTGCTAGATGGCAGATCTGAGCACACCTGGCTGTCTGCTGCCATTACCACCACTGTAGTCAATCACAGTGCCTTGGTTTTTGCTGCAATTTGTGTGTGTGCAAGTATATTAAACCCATTCTATCCTATCCCCCTCTTGTTTTCTCAACTCCAGTGCATTTCGACACATTTATCCTGCTTAGATCTTCAAACATTAGGTAACATTTTCCTTGTTCAGGAAGAGAAGCATTAAATAATCTGACATATACATCTATCTGAAAATAAGTGTCTTTCCAAAGTTACTTACACTGCTCTGTATGCTTTCTGAAAGTAAGTGATCTAAGAAAAGTATTTATACCACTTTGACTCACAAATTGTGCAGATAGCCAAGGTAGTACAATCATGTAGCATTGAAGTCATCTACACGAGGTGTCAACATTTAGAAACTGTAAGCCTATAAAGTCATAATAAACTGTACTAGATACCCACAACCCTCATCTTGAAAGTGAACATGTGCTCCCATTTGATTTGCAACATACACTAAGGGAAGGAGAAGGGGAAACCAAACCTACACGCCGTCTCTCTGAAAGACCTTGAGCTTTCAAAAAAAAAAAAAAAAGAAAGAAAAGACCTTGAGCTTTCAAATGTGCTTGTAACACTGCTGAAATGAAATGCTGTTATGCGATAATCATTTGACGCTCTCAAGTAAATAATTTCAAGCCTTTAAACATGTCAGAATCAATGAGAAATATGCTATTATAGTTCTGACAGATACTTTTTCTTTCTCTAGAATGTTATTTGATGAACAAACATTTTTAAATCTCTAGTGTCGAATCACATCTCAAATGAATAAAACTCCAGCTGGAAATAAAAGTCCAGGTCTCAATGCTTGTATGTGTAACTGTCAATATCTGAACTAAAACTTCTGTTGGAGTCCTCTGCCATCCTGCCAACAGCAGACAGCCTGTCCCTGATGGTGAGCCATCCCTAAGCTCGTGGAAACCAGGCACCACCTACCTTCTTTGTTGTGCTGAAGTCATAGACAACTTCTTTCTCCTGATCTCTCATCACAGGCTTTTTGGAGATATTTCCCACATACACGTGACTCCGAATGACGGGCAACAGGTCGAAGGATGACTCTGCGATCTTCTTCAGGGCATCGGCTATGGCTTTATCGTGGGACTCCACCGTTTCTGTGGGGTTCGGAGGCAACTGTGAATCTGAACTGGTAGCTGAAACAGAACTTGGTTCCTCTTCAGTTGCTGCAACTTCAGCCTGAGGGAGGTTCCTGCAAGGGGGCTTGTTGACTCCTTCTGTAGTGCTGCTCCCACCTTCCGATTCCGAGGACCCACTGTCCAGGCGCAGTCTTTTAGCACTCCTCAATATACACGCTGACAATGTTCTTTTCCCACTTGAATCCTGTTGCGTCCCCAAATCTCCGGACTTATCCTGATTACAATCACCACCAGAGCTGCCCCCCGTTTTGACAAAGGCAGTTGACATGGAACTGATTGCTTTGAAACCTGTTATGGCACTGACAGGCCCTGGTAAATTCTGCCGGTCAGTAGGTGGACCTCGCGTGAGCTGTATATTCCCTTTGAGGATGTTGAGAGTACGGGCCCTGGCAGATAACTCCGGGTACATGGTATCAAGGATTTTAACGGAATTCTCCTGGGGCCCGGCCACAGGAGTGTGGGCCGATGCACAGGGAGGCAGTCTGCCGGGCACAGGAAGGGCATGCTTTGGGGTGGTGGCACAAAACTGAAGAGGAGATGACAGTATCCTCTCCCCAGTGGACACAGCAGATGGGGATGGAGATGTGCATGAAGGGGAGGCACGCCTTGCATCTTCCAGCAAAGGAGACATCATGGGTGGCACTGGGATCTCACACAACGGAGAAAGCTGGCCAACAGGGGAGGTAGGCGAGGAGGGACTGGAACTTGATATTAGAGGAGAAACTGGGTGTGAAGTCCTTGGAGGTGTAGCAATCAAAGGAGCAAGCAGGGGCGGTAAAGGGGGCCCCACTTCCTGCCGTATTTTACTCAAGGTATCAGCAGAACAATCCATAGGGGTTGAGGTGTCGGCATTGGCCAGGATGGTCTGAGTTTGAGGTCTCTGGGTTTTTGTGTTAACACTGTCCGCTGAAGGTGACTGAGAAACTTCACTTGGGTTAGTTTCAACCCTGCCAGATGATGAAGTCTTTACCAATTTGTTTGACTGATCTTTGTTTGAAATCTTTGATCGATTCTTGTTTTTGCCAAACGGCTCCAGTTTTGAGTTGTAATATGTGTGATCAGATGCAACAATCTGGGACTCAAAGATTTGATCGTAAATATCAGAACTAATCCTTACGCTAGGTTTAACAGGTCTATTCCGCAAACGACTTTTATCAAAGTTGGAACTCTGAACACTGTTGGAAATATCCTCTGGGGCACACGGAAGATTACTGCCGCATGGGGGCTCCGGAAGTGGAGAGCCAGGGTGGCTGGTCTCTGGGGACTTCTCCACAGAACTAACGGAGATGAAACTAGCTCCCAGCCCTCCTCCGTCTGGGGAACCAGGGTTGTCTCCAGGAGTGTCACACAGGGTGACCTGGTCCACATTTGGCATGAGGGCTACCCCGTTTATGATGGTCCAGTTGTCTCCCTTTTCAATGACTAGATTTTGGTCCTTATTTATCAGCACATTTATAACTTCAGAAGTCACAGTAGATATCTGACATTGAAATGTCTCTTCTGTCTCACAACTGGCACTGTGCTCGGCTGTCTGCCCAGCTCCGGAGTCAGAGCACTGGGATGGGAGCTCCACCAGCTCTGACAGTACCTCACCTCCACTGCCAGTCAGCCTGGTCACATCTGAGTTACCCTCAAGCTTGTCCTGAGTGTTTTTGACAGTCAATACCCCACTAGTGGGAGAACTGCCCTTAGCATCCAAGCCAGCTGTTGCCGGGGGTGGATCTGAAGGGTGCAATGAGGAGCTGCTTATTTGCTGAGGTGAGACTCCTTCTTTTAAGTGTTCGGTTGTCAGGCTGTCGTGTATACTGAAGAGCAGTAAATTACCAGCATCTTTCCCATCTGAGTCCTCATAGTTGGACTGAAGTTCTTGCCCAATCTTGGTTAGCACCTCGGACAGCGTTTCCAAAGAACACTGAGCGAGCTGACTTGCATCCCTTAAAGGACAATCATCTTCCTCAGATTCAATCCACTCTTCACAGGTTTTGAGTGTTTCTTCATCACAGAGCTGCTTGCTATACTTCTCTCCCGATGTTTCACTTTGCTTTAATTCTTTGTTAATTTCTTTGTTTAGGCTTTCTTTGTTAGAATATTCTGAAACAGAGTCCCCTGAACTATAATCTCTTAACTGACAACTTTCGAGAAACATGACCACATCTGAGGTAGAAAGTCTGTCTATCTCAGAGAGAGTACCGATGTTGAAGTCCTGCAGTGCTGAGGTCAGACAGCCCAGCTCTGTGGAAGGCCGGGTCTCGGCGGCAGCAGCGCGTGCAGCTCCCACGTCTCCTCTGGAGGACTCAGCAGCATCCCACTGCCGGTTACCCGTCACAGCTTCAGGCTCATTCTCACCCTCACTGCAGCTAGGGGCCTCACTCTCTTCCACCTCAGTGTCAACACCCCCCACCTCCCGAATGCCTGTGTAACAATACAGAGGACCAGAAAGGCTACTTTGTGGGAGGGCATGTGTCTCTTCATCCTTTCTGCCAATCTCTGGTAAAAAGGCAGTACCTGTGGTGCCTGAACCTTCAGGAGAAGCACCACCAGGAGTTGGCGATGGCTGTTTCAGAGACTCCTCTGGACTTTGCTCTATAGTAGGAGAGTCCTTTGAAGTGGCCAGGGCTTTACCACCGGATCTGACTGTGTTTCCACAGGGCATTTCTTCAACAGAAAGACTTCTGGACGCTGCCATTTCTGCAGCTGGAGGAAGTTTTCCTGCACCAGTCCCAGATGAGTCCAGACCCGTGGCATTCAGACGCGGACGCTGCTCCTGTAGCTCTGTCTGCACTGCGGGTTCTGTCATGTTTTGGTTTGGGACTGGGATATTTTCAGGAAAAAAAGATAATTTACTCTTTGTGGAACAATGAGAATTTTCTACTGGTAAAGAACCACTTGGAGAATCAAAATCTAATTTTCTCCAAGACTTGGAAATTTCTGGTGAAGTCCTTTTTGTAGCAGCCACCCCCTTGATGATCTGGGTTGGCTCCTCACTTCCTCCACAGCTTGCTATGGATGACACGCTATCGACATTTTCTGTTGCTACGGCAGGCTCACTCCTATGCAGTCTCAAAGATTCCGATCTAGCACTCGGTGTCGTTTCGGGCCTGGCCTGCTTGGTAATAACCGACACTTGGTTAGGCAACAGTGATGCTGACCCTCTACTTTCTAAGGGCAGCACTGCCTTTTGTAACTGAGGGTTGGTCTCTTGCTCACGTTCTGATTTAGCTCTCAGCCCTTCTTCACTACCTCTCCTTAACAGATCACTATGGTGCCAAGAAGTGCTTTTAACAAAACCAAGACTACTCTTAATCAAACCAGACTGAGGCTCTACTAACGGTGCAAAATCTGACCGACTCGGTGCGAGCTGAACTCCTGGACCCTGACTTTCACACTGCCCACCCTTCACAGCTTTCATAAACACTGACTGAGGAAGGGCACACACTTTGGTCATGCCTTTCACAACTTTTGTACATTCCACGCCACTGCTGCTCTGCTCATGAACACTGGATGCTCCCAACCCCGGGTTTGGAGCATGGACGCTATTCTCCAGGTCGTTTGCTCCTGTAGAACACTCTAGAGGCTCAGACTGCAGACCTGACCTGTTTGAAGCTCTGGCCTGTAACTTCTGTTCTGAACAACACACTTCGGTAGGGATTATTTCAGTAGGGATATGTTTATCATGACCACACTTCAGCCCAGAGGAAGACTGGGGAATACTGTAGACAGATAACGCTCCTGAGGTAGAAGAGGAAGAAAATTTGGCTTCAACATCAAGCTCTGTTCCATCCATTACATCATCTGAATCTTCTTCAGGTTCAGATGATTCTCCTAAAACAAACCCTTGCCCTTCCCTGTCCTTTTCCAGTTCTCTAGATGTTTCCTGAAGATGGTCAGAAACTGACATATGATCTGAATCGCACGTGAGTTCATTAGTTGGTGTCCACTTAGTAAAGTCTGATTTGGGTGATCCTATCATTCTGGATAATGGGTTTTTCCCTTCAGATCCTGTAAGCTCACTCAACAGCCTCTTGCCAAGGGGAGAATAACACAGGTCTGACTTCCCAAGGGCTGCTTCCTTCCCTTGTGTCAGGCTGCCAGACAACCTCTCAACACTCACACTTCTGGTGGGTTTACAAAGTGTTTCCTCAGTTTGCACTGATTTATCCATCTCCCTAACCTCTCTTTGTCCTTTCGCCTCACCTAAAATGCCTCTTTTTCTACCACTAACGAGTTGAGATGACATTGCCCAGTGTTTCTCACGAGCTAAGGTGAATGTGGCTGAAGGTTCTCTCAGTGTTGCTGTAAGTGCCCCAAACCCAACAGCTGTCACTTCATTTACTTCCAATGTGTTCAGAGCTTCGGTGGCTTCCTTCGAATTGGGCTCTTCCTCCCATGTACCACTTCCTTTATTCTTTCTGGGTGAGCCAAAACAATCCTGTGCGTCAGAGGTATCATCTTCTGAATTAGACTCGGCAGAATTTCTGTGTTGGGCTGAGTCATTATCACTGGAATCTGTGTACTCTCCAAAGTAGGTTTCCTTAAAAATAAATGAGTTATACTAGTTAAGTATATACTAATTCAACCAACTAAAATATCAATTAAATGCATTAAAAAAAGTACATGCTTCCTGAAGACCCTTTAACATATGTGAGGACAGTTTACCCTCTAGGACTGCTGTAACAGGTGGGAAAGTCTCAATCACAAGTACGACACTGATCTGTCCTCTCCTAAGAGCCCATCTCTCCCCAAGAGTCATCCTCACTCATACCTCTTCTCTCGTAACAGGTTCTTCCAAGTTCTAGTCCACATGTGGTCTCCTGTGCGGTTTGTTCTCCTAACCTCCAAAAACTCTACTTCTCAACTACTTCTCCATCTTCTGGCCAAAAAGACTTCTGATATGAGAGGATACAACCCTCTCTTTATCTCCACCTCCCAGTTACTCCTCCACAGTATCTGACTCACATCTGACTGCCCTCTACGCACCAACCGGGACATCCCTCTGGGTGCCTACTCACGGACAACTCTCGCCACCCATTTCCGCACACGGCTGTGAAATGGCCACCATACAAGATCCATCTAGGTGGCAACCATTCCCTCCCTACATCACCCCTGCATTCCTGGGGCCTAGCACAATGTCTGAAACACAACAGAATTGCATTATGTTTCCTGAATGAAGGAACTAATTCCAAGTCATTTGCTCCTTAAGTCAAAAAGTATATAAATCCGTTTTATTAAAACTTCCTAATAAATTATGCAAACACACAAAAAGATGATGTATTCATGAAGTGGAAGTGGGGAATTCAGTAACCTAGGTTAATGTGTGCTATACACATGGATTTACCCATCTCTGAAAAAATCCATGGCTACAAACATGTATTTAATTCATTCATCCCATATCGGCTAAGAGCCCATCATGAGACATAAGAAGAAACAATTAAGATTTCGCTCTTCTACAGGAGACTTACAATTTGGTTGTGGATAGACCAAAAAAAAAAAAAAGAACCATAACAAAGAAAAAAAAATACATGTTAATCCTAAGGGCACTGGCAGGCCCTTTTATATTCTCTTAATACTCCCTAATAAAATCTAGTCTGAGTACTGCACATGTTCTTTGAGCATGGCTAACGTATTAGGATGAACACTACGCCCATTTGGTAAGTCAAATTCAAAGTGCACACTCACAGGTGCAAGAGAAGAAGGTAAGGAGCGAAGGTGCGGTAAGGACCCCAGAGGGGGCGATGGCACGGGAGACAAAAGAGGAGGGGGAAGCTTGAAGAAGTCAACTGCAGCTTGAAGATCTTCATCCAAACAGCGATTGCGATGCAAAAACTCACTACTGTCCTCATCACTCCTTGGCATTACAACTTCAGGAGGCTGGTCCTCACTCGGAGGAGCTGCCCCACTGGGCCTCTCCCGTCCCACATTTTTGCATGGGGAGAAGTCACCCTCTATCTCCATGGACAGCTCTGCCAGACACGTCTGCACAGCAGAGGCTCCGGGAGGACTGCCTCCTCCCCGAGTGGGCACGCCATCTTCCCCGGACTCTCTGGATCTAGGCTTTTCTTCAGCAGGTTTTGCTGTGGGGAAAAAAAAATAAACAAAGTAAATATCCAATATTTACAATATTGAGAAGACTTAAAAAACCCCCACCTTACTCTAACAGTTTAAAATGCTTGTAATATTAAGTCCAAGTAAAAATGTATTTTTAGAAAAAGATCCCTTCCTGAAGACTGTCCTATAAAACCTGAACATACTTCATATAAGTATGCCTTGCTCACAACCAATAGGATAAGACAGGTGGATGCGTGGATGGGATGTCCACGACCCTTCCGCAGCAGGGCGCAGGGTGGAAAAGCACCCCCAGCAGCCTAACGGCCCTGGGTCTCGACGACCTGCTCACTCTTCTTAATGACCCTAAGGAACAGTAGTTTCTGGCGGAAAACAGCTTTGTGCATGCAGGTTGACAGGGAACGTGATATTCTCTGTCTGACAAGCGATCTAAAAATCCACTGATAGCCAACCTACCCCATGACCACAGCTGTACAATGCTCTAATTAAGGAACTAGAGCTTTTTATTATAAGCAATGGAAAAATCACTGTAAGAAGCCAATGCTTTTGAGTCTTAATTTTGGTGAACTGCAGTGGTGCTAATTAGTGTCCTAGGAAATAATTAGAAGCATCTATTTGTCATATTTGAAACCTGTAAAAATGTGTTGTACAGAAGGGCTCTGGGGTCCTGGGAAAAGTGGCTGATCGCAAGGCTGGGGGGCGGGAAATACAAGCCAGGCCTGAAATACCCTGCAGTGCCAGAAAATGAAGAGGTACTCAGAGCGGGGTGGGGCGCACAAAAGGCCCAGCCAACAGAAAGAAGATGACCCCAATAACCAAGCCCGGGGTAATCTGAACAATATGTAATGACAGAACTGAATTATAATGCACAAAATAAATACTGCTAAAACTACACTGGTAAGTGAAAAGAGTAACTCTTTCTTACAGAAGAATCCCAATTAATAAATGCAAAACAAATGAAGGAAATACAGTAAAACCTATTAGACAAAATAGTCAATACGGCCAATAAGACCCATGGATGGCTGCCAAAATTAGTACACACAGTTGGAGAGAAACAGAGTGTCTGCAGTGGAGAAGTATCTCCCTGAAGATAATTAACTAGTAGTAACTTGACATGGAGAAACCTGGCAGACGCCACTTTAAGTAAGTGATCAAGGTTCATATCCCCAGTGACAGTGCAGCTCTACATCCCCTCTCTCTGGGCACGGCAGCCATGGCAGGGTGCAGCATGACCTCTGTGGGTGTGGGGGTCTTCCCACAAGTACAAGTCTCAATCTAATGTGAGAAGACATCAGATATGCCCAAACTGACAGGCTTTCTACAAAATCAAAAGTAAAAGTAAAACCAAAAGTAAAAAGACATGAGAGACAAGGAAAAATGGATGTGTTGTCCTTCTGGGGGAGATGGAAGGAAGAAGGAAGGTTAAATGCAAGTGGTATCTTGGAAAGGAAAAATGATCCTGGTGAGAAAACAGATGAAATTTATATATGGTTTTTGTTAACAATATTGTACTAAGTGTTCTGGTTTTGATTATTGGTGATGGAAAATGTTCAACTTTGGAGTAATAAGTGAAATTTTCTGCACTATTTTTACAATTTTCCTCATATGAAAAGAAAAGGTAAGAAATATATATATATTTTATGGTATAAAATTCCAAAGATACCATGTTTTCCCTTCTATTTGAAAAAGCTAACATCAAGGAACAGACTTACCCCTCTAAATAATGTTTTTATATAAACATAAAATTATTAAATGAAAGATGTCCCTTTTAAAAACATCTTTAACAACACAAAATCAAGTATTTATAATAAAGTAGGACTACTGACTAATACAGAAGACTAAAATGAATCTCAGGCTGCTTTTGTCTGAACAGATGAGTCCATTCTAAACTGGAGAGAATGATTTAGCAGCTGCAGGCTCTACACGGTCACATTATCAACGTTTTATCCAGGAGGTGTTCCCAACAAACATGCGTCTGTAGGCCTCACAAGGTATGAATCCACACACACGAGAGTCAGGAACTTGCCTATGCACATTTTTCTTAGGGAACACCACCTTGAGAGCCTGAGAAGAAAAACTAGGTGCACGTTTCTACAGACTTTAGATCTTGAATATCTGTAAATTCAAGCTAATCAAAAAAACTAGTACAACAACAAAACACTTAAAAAAACATTTTAATCTTATGCAAGATAGCAATCTCCTCCCCATCTCCTCCAAGTGACTAATACCTATTTCCAAATCTTGAATACAGTGTAACAATGTGGTAGAAAGCCTCCATGGCTTTTTACTGCAAATCAAGATACACCACAGATTAAGTCAAATCTCTGAAAATGCATTAGCTACTTGTGCTGTACTAACAATCTGATGTGACAGTTTTTATCTATCCCTCTCTGTATGTCTGTATCCTAAAAGAGAATACGAATGCAGAATAGATTATAACTAAAATTTCAGCCAAAGTAACTGGTAAATTACATGAAACACAAATTAAGCTAAACTGCTGGTGGATGAATGGAACCCATATGACTGGAAAAGCTGTTTGTCCTCAGTCTTTTGCATACACCTGTTAAATATGCCTCCACTGTGGGTCCTGCCAATGTCTCTGTATGCTCTCTAATGAAAGGTGCTATTAAAAATTAAAACCCAAATGCATTTACTGAGATTGGCAGAAGTAACATTGCAAGGAAAAGAGTTTTATATAACTAAGAGTACTCATTATAGATTAGTTTATTCTTTAATGGAAGTTAAGACACCAAAAACCAAAGGCACACATTACCCAAGATAAACATCTCTACTTTCATGTACAATATGTACCTCTGGAAGCTTCTATATCACCTGGGAGACATCTGCTGCTTTCACCAGGTACTCTGTGTGTTGTGTTTATACAGAGCCAGAGTTCTTTCAGAAGTAGTTTTACTTTTCCTAGGAAAGAGAAAAAGGTATTAAAGGCACGCTACTTGCCTCAATCTATGCAAGGCCAAAATATAGTCTTGTGAAATCAGGACTTATCAGAAATTTAGAAAACTAAGTAACTTAACGTCTTCCCCAAATTCAACCACTGTGCATAACTGAGTTAGCCACTGATGGAAAGGTCTGCAATGCTCTAGCCCATTTGGGAGAGGAGGGAGAATGGGAGTCAAAAGACCAAATATTCCTGTTGTTAATGGCTTCTATCACCTTTCTGTCGGTGTGGCACAAATAAATCTGTGGCCTGTAAGTTTTCAACAGAGAGTGGTAAGTGATTGGGGAAGGAAGCAGGTATAAGGACTAATGTAAGAGGTTTGGGCTCTACATATCCTGCAAAGAACAGGACAGCTGTATCTCCTCAGTTACATGAAGTTACCAGAAATGCGTCAGACCATGCTGTAATTAACCTGGGGGCTTCATGGATCACAGAAAAGCCATTAGTGGTCTTAAGGAAGAGTGAGGTGAGAGACAAAAATGTGTGCATGTAAGCATATAGACAGGACAAGATAATCACACAGAGAAGCATATGCTCTCATGAGCAAAGCAAAAGCTTTGGAATTTTTATAACCTTTCAAAGAGCTTTGTCTGGATCCCTAAAATGGTTGAGAACCACTGGTTCAAGTTGAAAGGCCAACAGTAGTTGTAACTAATACAGGCCCAATAAAATTCATATAAATCAGGAGTATTAACTATGGTTTTAAAGTGAGTTTAACATTAATAAATATACAAATTAAAACAAAAACTCCCAAAGCAAAAAAGTATTCATGAAAATATAATAGTTTTTGGTCAAATCTGCATAAAACAACAACCCACATAAATTAAAATTCAACTTAAAATAAGCTATAAACATTAGGCAATTTCAGGTCACTTCAAAGTTCTGTTATTGTTTCCTTGAACATGTTTTTAAATTAATCTGAAGCATTTATTAAAAATACTGAAATCTTCAACCTAGTCTCAGGAGGCTAAAAGACCAACCTTTTAAACCAAAATATCTCTAAGGAATCACAAATTTTGAATAGGTCAGATCTATGGAAGCTGGCAAACCCCATCACACCAAATAATGAGGTTCAGACAGAGGGACCAGGACAGGAGAGGAGGACAGAGGCGCAGGGTGGGTTTGAAAAGCTGGACATTTCCAACTTCCCCTGAGCCAGTCAACCTCTGATGGTCACCCTGTGTGAGACACATCCATTTCTGAGTTCCAAATTCTGTGATCAAGCAGCTTATCTACATTGTGATTTAACCTACCCCAAAGCCTGCTTCCAAACACTGTAATCCCCTTTGCTTAAATGACCTGACCAGGATCCCTGCTTATTACGTATACCCAAAGCAGCAAACAGGGAACCTTAAAAAAAAAGAAAAAAAGTTACTTTTCTATTCTTATGGAGGCTATTAACCAGAGCTATGGCTATTCTAACTGAGCACTCTTTCATTATGTCTATACACAAATAAGAGAGCTATCCATTCCCAGCAAAGAAAAAAAAAAAAAACCCTACTGTGGCTTTACTACGTAAGTGGGGAGAGAAAACCTCATTAAATTGAACAGCACACCTTAACCCAGTATTTTAAAGCACTTCTTTTATCAAAATATAAGGCATCTGTCAGTATTTCCGAACTTTTCTATTTCACTGACTAGTCAGTTTACACATGAATACCACACTACTTTAATCTCAAGTTTTATTACTGTTTTCATATCTGCTCAGAATTTTTTTCTTTTTAAAAAATATTATTCTGAACATCTATTGATTCCAGATAAAATCTCAGCATCTGCTTGTCCTTTCCCATATAAAACCTCGAGATTTTGAGTGAGGCAGTGTATTTACAAATACATTTTGGGAAAACTCACGTCCTTATCCTTCGAATATTTCAATCTCAAAACATGATGTTTATTTACTCTAACACAGTTCAGCAGCGTATGAGGCATGGCACACTGCTTTTAGGCCTTTTCCTAGACCTCTGATGCTTCTGTTGCCATTTGAGAATGGGTTGTTCTTATTCCATCCCTCTTCTAAAAAATTCATAATGACATGTTGTGTGTTCCACGTTTGTATCACCACTTTCCCAAGCTCCTACACTTGTATTTTCCAGCTGAGACTTTTCAATTGTCTAGTCATATCTTTTGAAATTATGACAATGTTGACTCTTTTTTATCAGCTGTGAATACAGCTCCTAGAGGCTTCCCATAAAGAATGGAGGTAACAGAAAGCACGTTTGCCTTGACCTTGCTCTGTACATTTCACCTTTCTCAAGTGCAAATGTTTTTATTCTATTGTTACCTCACCACTATTTTTTATGAGGAATGTGTGCTTAATTGAGATATCATTTCTCTCTTACCCAGTTGTTGCAGTATTCCTCAGAGCAATCCTTAAGTCATAATTTGTCTATATTTGCAATTATTAGATTTGAGTTCTTAAAATTTTACTTATATTCCTTAGTGGCAAAGCTCTGAGTCTTGAGGATGTGTGTGCATGTTATTCTTAACTGACTTTGGTACAGGGTTATGCTAGTCTGAGAGAAGGAGACAGAAAGCACTGCATATTTTTCTAAGTTTTAACATAAATAAAATAATAAAGACTTTAGTTTTCACTGAAGGCTTTACAGGGCTCAATAGCAAGCTACCTGGATCTCCTATGGCATTAGAGCTTTAACTAATTTTTAAATTTCTTCTGAGTTCTTTTTCTGTTCAGGTTTGTGATAACTACTCTGAGTCAAATTCAGTATGTTTTCCTAGAAAACAGTCCATATCAACATGATCAAGTATGAATATAAATTTGTTGAATTAAGATTCTCCAACTACAGTTTTATAGGTTTCTCAGTCCTGGTACTGTCAGATTTTTGTCCCTTCCTTTCTTAATCACCCTTGCAAAGACCTGTCAATTTCACCAGCATTACAAAGATCAGGCAATTGGTTTTAATGGTCTCAAACAAATTGTTTGTTTTCTATTTCATTAACTTGTTTTCATCTTCACCTTCTGCTTCACCTTCAGTTTCCTTGTATTTTCCTGCCTTCTCAGTTATTCATTTTCTGTAATTCTTGCTTTCTAAAACAATCACTGAAGACCACAAATCATTCCTTTGAATACTATACTGGCAACATCTCAAAAATTTAATAAATGCTGCCCTATTGTTTATTTCCAAAACAGTTTAGCATTTCCATTTTTATCTTCTGTTATCCAAGAAGGATTTGTTCGTGTTTATGTGTTTGCAGTTACCAGGTAGGTCTTGAAAGACTTTTGGGGGGCATGGGAGAGTATTTTTACCAGTATCTTATTAAACCCCAATATCTTAATATACCAGATTAGATAGGAGTTATTAGTAAACAGCCAGCTTCTACATATGCTTTAAAAGTATTTTAAATTCTAAACCCGTGGTTTAAAAGAATCATATGTAAATCAGCAATTTTGCAATTACAATTGCAATTCTACCTCCTATTTTTTACGCTTTTCTATTTCTGAGAAACAGATTAAAGTCTCCCATGAAAACAGATCTGGCTACTGCCCCTAGAATTTCCAAACATTTTACTCAATAGTTTCATGCTTTTTTATCCATGACAGTAGTCTCTTCTTGGTGAATTGTACATTTCATCAATCTAGATATTCCCTTTTAACCCATGTAAAGTCATTTCTAGGCTTGAATTATTTTTTTTGTCTTAGATTACAGCTTACAAGTTAGCATTTGCTTGGAATTTCTTTATTCATTCCTGTATATTATTTTTTCTATTATTTCACCTGATGTTAAATATACTCCCTATAAAAACATCAGAGATAAAGATCATTAACAAAGGTCATACTCAACACTCGGTATGCCTTTCCAATATAAATATCACATCTGTGCTAAGCTCTGGGAAGTTTCCTTCTGTTATTTCTTGATCACCTTTTCTCCTTAGGCTGTTCTACCCCGAGAAGTTCTAACAGATGGCTATTAGGATACCCAGCCTATCATTCAGATTCTTACATTTCCCCTAATACTTTTTATTTCTCTGTTCTTTTGTACCATGTTCTCAGAGACACCTGCAATAGGTCTGAGACACTTATATGTGTCCATTTAACAATTCAGCCTTTCTAGTAAGTATATTTCTACAATCATATGTTTAGTATTCCAAAACCCCAATTCTAATTTCATAGCAGCCTATTTATACGTCCTTAGACCTTCTCTAAGGATACAGCTCAGTTTTTAACATTTAACACAGTTCATGATTTCATACTATTTCCTCAGGTACTAGGTCTTCTCCTTGCGCTTTTTTGCCACTGCCTTTTCTGTTTTGGATGGAAGTTTAGGCAGGACATCTTTGATAGCCAGAGAATGTTTCTTCAGCCTACAGTTTTTAGCCATGTACTCACAATAAATACAGGTTCTTATTTCATGAGCCTATAGCAACAGTCCCCAACCTTTTTGGCACCAGGGACCAGTTTCATGGAAGACCATTCTTCCACGGACTGGAGGCTGGGGGTCAGTGGGAGGGGATGGCTTTATAATCTGCCACCAGATGCAACTTAATTGTCACTTGCCACTCACTGATAGGGTTCTTTTTGTTTTGTTTTGGACCTATATCACTGATAGGGTTTTGATATGCATCTGCAAGCAATTGATTTATTATGGTCTCTGTGCAGTCAAACCTCTCTGCTAATGATAATCTGTATTTGCAGCAGCATCCCGGTGCTGGCATCACCATCTCAGCTCCACCTGAGATCATCAGGCATTAGATTCTCCTAAGGAGCACACAACTACATTCCTCGCAGGCGCAGTTCATAGTAGGGGCTGTGCTCCTATGAGAATCTAATGCTGCCAATGATCCTGACAGGATATGGAGCTCAGGCGGTGATGCAAATGTTGGGGACTGGCTGTAAATACAGATGAAGCTCTTGCTCCCTCACCAGCTGCTCACCTCCTGCTGTGAGGCCTGTTCCTAATGGGGCCATGGACGGTACCAGTCCATTGCCTGGGTGTCGGGGACCCCTGGCATACAGAACCCTGCCTTTAGGGGGCGGGGAGACAGATGAATGCAGTTGTTGAGGACTTACATGGAATATGTAAACATCTCATTTTCTGGGACCAGAAGCAGCTATCCTTCAAAGCAGCCACAATTGCCAATTTTTGCACCCACCCTGGGTGTCTCCCATGGCATAACTAACACTTTAGAGAGCCGAACTTCGGGCCATAGCCTACGGACAAATGTCAGAAACTGTTTCTGAACCCAGACGGTTGCACATTCTTCACACCTTAGTCAATGGCCTGGCAAAATGCTGCTGTCCTGCTCCTTCTCCCTCCCCCTGCCAGCTCTGCTTTGAGGAAATACAGGGCTTCTGCCATAAAAACTTGCTTTCTGAGGGCTGCTATTTTCTCTGTAATGTGGGGCTTCATCGCCCACTGATACCGACTACTTTACATAAAGAGCTCTATTTTATTTTGTCGTTTTTACTGGAATTTGAAAGGAAAGGCAAATGTAGCACTCAAGCAGCCTTTTTAAAAGTGAAATCAACACTCTTTCTGCCTAACTTGTAAATCTCTGTCTGAAGTATTAAAGCATTAACTTTACATTTGAGTATTAGGAATTAAACCCATCCAAGTCCACAACTTATAATCATCAGCACACTCCTGAAGATAAAGACTTCCATTTATTTAGAAAAAGTAAAATCTACAACAAACAACATCCCAGCCCCCACAGGAAGGGAAGATCAAAACAAACCAAGATTTTACTTGGAGACAGTATCAAGCTCTTTGAGGAAAGTAAAACAGAATGTAAGGACAGAGGCCAACTACAGTAAGGGGGTAGGCGGGTTCGCTTCGAAACACTAAGGCTTGAGAACAGCCAAATCCTAGGGCAAATCTGTCAGTCCAACAGAGAACATTCAATTCAACATCTGACCGGCACTTCGGAAAGCCAGTGTTGTCCAGACTTCTACTTCTCAGCAACATGTATTACTAAGACTTTCACTTTCCACACAGAAGAGCAGGAAGAGAAAAGTCAAAAGCACATGAATTACACATCACTGACAGTGATAAATCAGTGCCCAGATAACGGAAATGTGTGAGCTGTTAAGCCTTAAACCACACAGAAAAAAATGATCTTGTGCTCTGAATTGAAAAAAAAAAATTAAAGAAAAAAGATGAAGACTTCTAAAGAGACACTTTTTTTATTGTACAAAACGATGTTAAGTGGTTTCAATAATATCCATCTTGGGAAAAAAAGCACAATAGTGACATGAAAACACCAATATTTACATTTTAAATGTATCCCTACCAAAAAAGCGAGAGATGGCAGAGCAGAAATTCAAAACTCCCCTTTAAAGAACGAAGAAGGAAAACACACAGGAAGGTTAACGGACCCACAGTGAATGAACAGAAGTACTAATGGGAAACCCCTAAGTTCTAACTGCAGGGTCAGGCCTCCTCACCTACAAGACTGCTCTGGGGTGAAAGGCACACCTGCACACCTGTCATTTCCCTTGCGCACTGTTCGACAACCACTTCCCTTTTCCTCGTAACTTGTGCCCTCCCCTCAAGTTTTGTCTTCTGAAAATACACTTATGTGACTTTGACTCCAGTTTTCCTGCCTAACAGTAATAATGTTTATATATTTGGCGCCTAAGAAATTAACCTGATAAATTGTAAATGAATTCCAGCACAAACCAACCCAAACCCTTTAGTTTTTATTTTTTGAAAAGTGTGGAAATTGTATCTCTAACTAGTTTTCATTTCCCAAACAATATGTTTCTTCATGTTTAGTTTCACTGTGTTCTTTTATCGAACAGCAGGGTGATAATGTACACGGATCCAATGGAGACAGGAGACAGGATATGACTACTTCTTCCATGAAATATCTACTAAGCCCGGGGACTTTCACAGTTACAGGGAACAGCAACCAAGAAAAGCTCCCGAACCACTAAAAGTAGTGAACAGAAATAAAAAGAGAACTTGGAATATACTCACTTTTATCTATGCTTCCGTAAGAATCACTCGAAATTTGTGTTCCAATGTGTTTCAACTCTAAAAGTGTGGGGGAACAATGGTTAAAAAGAATACTGGATATCAAGACAGAATTTTTATGTAGGCCATTAACTGAATACTCACCTTTTTCATTTTTCTGCTTAGCAAACTCATCCAGCCTTTCCTGTGAAAACAAAACACTAAGAGAGCTGGCACTGCACAGGAGTGCAGCCACTCTGGCCCCAGCCAGGGGAGGCCGCCTGGCCAGCACTGCCGGCTACGCTCCTCAGGGGCCTCATCCCTGACTCCTGCGTGATTAGGACACGGCATTTTTACAAAGGACACTAAGGAGCCCAGAGGCCAGAAATTTAACGTGTGTGTGCACTGTTATCTATTACCTGTGTCTTCTTAAATTCCTTTTCAAGTATTTTCTTTTCATTCCTCAGTTGCTTGAAGTCCTGAGTTTGCTTGAGAGCGGCCTCTTTATTTACAGAGGGTATGGAAGTAAGAAAGAAAGAGAATTTATGAACTTTACAACTACCATTGATAAAACATTCAAAATCTAAAATACCGAGAGTGTTCTCTCATTTCTTAAAACTTTGAAAAATTTTTGTGAAAGATCACTTTCTTCAGTATTTTATCAATCAGGGATAAATGAAGAAATACTTTTGGCTTTAAATATTATCTCTTTTAGCTATAAAACCGTAACACTGGCACAGGCCCTAAAAATCCTTTGTAATTCCAGCACAAGCCCACCCAAACCCTCCAGTCAGGCAGGAACCCAACAGGCATGACCTTTATGGAGGGAGAGTCCACGACCCGACTCCTTACTCTTCTACAATCAGCGACATTGCAGGTTCACAGATTTCAGAATACTGTTAATACAGTTCTCTTTATTTGGGGGAGGGGACAAACTTCTCTGTGCTTACTATATTGTTACTCCTTTCTGGAATTTCCTTCAATAAGCTGATAGTCATGACTGCTAATACCTTTGTTAGTGATCTACAGCTGACCTCTGAACAACACTGGGGTCAGGGGCGCCACTCACCTAGTAGGTGAAAGTTCTCATAAAACTTCTGAATACCCAGAAACATAACTACTAATAGCCTACTATTGATTAGAAGCCTTACCAACAATATACACTGTCATTTAATACACCCTTTATATGTTATATATGTTATAGAAAATGGTATTAAAAATCATAAAATAGAGAAAATATATTTACAGTATATGCTAAAAAAAATCCGAGTGCAAGTGGACCCACTCAGTTAAAACCCGAGTTGTCCAAGGTTCAACTGTACTTTTTTGTAGCAGTGCTCTGAATCCTAAGCCCGTCATTCATTCCTATTTCGGGTTCTGAGGCGCTGCACAGTCCGAGAACACTAGAAGGATCTGAGCAGTACTGGCTTTACCTGAGACTGTTCATACGCAATCATCATGAAAAGTAATATCCCATAAAACACTGGAGTAACAATCCTTACTCGATTCATTTTGATAAGGCCGAGTATCTCTTTACTCGATTATTATGCCTGGTCATTTACTAGAAAAAATATTTTTGTCACATAGAAAACAAAGGTTATACTTTTGCTTCAAAGGAATTCTGTTCTAAAAGCTGTAAGTAGTCTCACAGGCATTTCAGACCTTTTTAAAAATATCTCCTTGAACAGATACTTATCTCCGCATACTGGCAAGAGAAGGCAATATTTAGAAAGAACACAATGCTGTTGTATTTGCTGCCACACTACTGTTTGTGCAACAACCAAATCAAAGAAAAATTTGTTACCAAAATACTTATGGAGTTATGGCGTAAAAAGATCAGTTCCAATCTAGGTAAACTGATGACTATTTTCTCATACCTACACGTCCTGATCCGACTAAACTTAAACCCTCACTCCACACCCTAAATGGGCTCCACACCGTTCCCCAAGGCAGAGCCCTGTCCAGCACGAGGAAACAGCGAGGAGCAGGGGCGGTGAGCCACAGGAGGTTCAGTGGACTCCTGGCGCCCACGTGGGAGTGAGAGAAACGCGCACTGCACCTGGAATGGGCCTGACAGAGTACTCCTCGTCTCCACTGGGTGAGACGTATTTCCACGTCCCAGCCACCCCAAGGAAAGAGGGAGAAAAGAGAATAAAAGATTCTGTGTTCAATTCCTGAAAGGGTCATCAGCTGCCCCAGGAAAACTGACCAGACCCGTGCACGGCGTCTCTGCCCTCTGCGTGCCAAGGACAAAGTGACAATCCTCAAAGCAGGGAGCTTCACGGACATCTCTCCATGGATGTTGTCACAGCTATCGAAATACCTCAAGTTTCTTGGGACTAAAGGTAGTGACCTTCTCTACTAACCACTGATTTCATTAGGAAAAAATGAGAAAGCCCCATGAGATTCAACTTTCTAAATTAAATCCTTTTATTAATCACTGCTCTTTATGGTAAAAGTAAACCAGACAAGCCAACCCAAACCCTTTAACAGGTAAGAACCCAACACACATGACCTAATGCAACCCACCAGGCTGCTATTATTTTGAGTGCAACAACATTTCAAGGATTTGCCACATTCCACTTTCACACTACTATCCAGTAACTGAAAGGAATACAGCATTCAAACTTCTTCCCTAACGGTGCCCGTAATGAAGTCACCCAGGGATGCACCATCGAAGAAACCACGATGACTCAACTGCCTAACCAAGTACTACGACCTCTTCTAGTTACTGTGCGTAGCTAGACAATAGTGCCAATTACCTTCCAGCTTCTTCACCTTGGCTTCTAGTTTCTTCCTCCTAAAATAAAATTTTGTATTTTAAAGTGGCAAAAAAAATATATGTAACAGGAAAAATATATACACCACAATTTGTGGTACATTTATTTTTTAATCACTGAGATTTATATAACAAAGTAAATGTCAGTCACAATAAGCATCACACATCAATCACCAAAATTGCCAGTCACTGTTCTGAAGGTAGAGCAAACGTAAGAAAAAACAGTATACCGTTCAGTGTGTAACAGTTCTAAAATGGATTAAAGAAATCTGTATTCTTCTCTCTGAACCACACGGTCTCATCTATCAACCAAGCTGACGCGTCGGATGGTCCCTAGAATTGGTGCGGCCTCTAACCGATGACGCGACTTTTGGGAGCACGGACAGCAGGAGTGCTCATGACACCACTGTGGCAGAGGCATGGCTGGGGACATGTACTCCTTTTAGTATGAATTTGAATCACAGAAAGGAGGTAAGTGTCTGAGAAAGAATCTCTGAGTGATTGCTACATCAACATTAAACTGCTTTATGTGTAGCTCACAAGTTTGTTGGATAATGCGAATATAGTATTAAACTTAAAATCATCAAATGGTTGCTTCTGAACGGCCCTTTCTATGAATGGTAACAAAGACATCCACTCCACATGATACCTGTTGAAGTGCTGGCACGAGGAAAAGAATGGATGATGTTTATGCACACAGACACAGAAGCACACATGCCACACACAGACATAATAAACATGTCTACAGAGGTCTTTCTTTGTGTAGCCCTTTGACAAGGGATGGTTTATTTAACTCTCCTTATAGTCCTTCAAGATAGTTACAATGTCCATTTGGCAGATGTGGACACCAAGGTTAAGAAACGTTCAAGGTCACACAGTTAATTACAGCCAACAAACCCAAAGGCAGAAAAGAAACATTCATTTAAGAATTTTCAAAGATGAAATCCCTATTTCCAGCCTTTTGGAAACTACTTACTGAGCATCAGTTTTCAAGCATTCTTCTTTTACACGAGCATATTCCTGATGAGTATCCTGATACAATTTTAGAGAACTCTAAAAAAAGAAATCAATATATACTGTCAATTTGAAAGTCATTACTATCAGACTAACTTATTTTGAGCTTGAAAAGCTAAATTATCATTTCAAGGTATGAAATTAACCAAATATATAATATGTTAGGAAACCAAAGTATAATTCATTGAACATTTTAAAGGATATAACCAGATCAGTATTAGATAGTGTGATTAATAATTTAATCAAAACTATAAAATTGAAAATATATTAATTTTAAGGCAATCACAAATCTTCATAATATCAAATAGTCAATATTTTTACCTCAACCAATTAAAATTCAACAAAACCTAAAGAAGTTTTAGAGCTTAATATAAACAACTGTTTACTACTGTAAACAACTGTTACTGCTATGCAAAACTATAAAATATGTTGTTATACTCAACAGTAACTGGAAAAAAATGTGTTAACACCAATCAATATATACACCCTGATGGCCACACTGGAATGAGAAAGAAACGGTTATTGAATAGCTTTGTATCACAATATAATGAGAGATACTCATTTCTCTCATCACCATAGCTCTGAGACGGGCTCTATGACCTCTTTTCACAGATGAGGGGTTTGAGGGTCCGTAAGATGAGTGTCTTCCAAAGTCAGAGTGAGCGAGTGAGTGAGTGAGTGAGGAGAACTTTTATCATTCAGTTCTGACTTCAGTTCCTGTTTCCTCTCACACAGGGCTGATGAGATTGTTATACAAGCAGAGGTAGACAAATTTTAATGTTGCAGCTGTTTGTTTTTTTTTAAATTTCATTGCATAGTCAAATATATAATAAAGAATTTCTACAAAAATAGAAAATCAATCACTGTTAAAGTACGTAAGGCCTCAGACAGGTGCGTGGCATTGCTAAAATGCCACAATCTGAACACCGAGAGGCACGATACTACCTGTGACGAGCTTAGGAAACAGGTAGAAGAGCCCAGAATCGTCCCAGCTTGGCTACAACTAGTCTTCTGCAAACCCCCTCACTTTAACTGCTTTATATTTTTCTTAACTGTAAAAGCCATGAATTATATTCTAAGATTCCTATAAAGAGGAAACCAAAATGTATAAAGAAAAGCAAGCTTATACCATTTTAAATAAACTTACTGCAATCTAATCTTGAAATGGAGAACATGATTTTGCTATCTTTAATTTTTTTGCATGTTATTTTACATTAAATTAAAAAAAAATGGAAAGGCAATGCAGGACACGTGGAGCCACAAGTTCACAGCTAGAACCCTTTTCAAAAAACAACAAACACAAAATTACACATTTAATGATGACTATAAGGTCCGAGCCATAAATCAGCTAGTTCAATGTTCACTAAGTACAGTAACATACGTAAAGCATCCTGACTAGCATTTATTTCCTTTGTTAGCACAGGAAATGTCCCCTTATCCCAATAACAGTGACTTAGAAGCTCTTGATTAATTTGAAACTCCGGAGGAAAATTACTTTAGGTACCTTTTTCTCTTCTAGTTCAGCTTTTAAAGATCCTAATTCTTCCTGACATTTCTGCAGAGGAGAAATTTTTTGAAGCATCTGTTCCACTTGGTGATGCAGAGTACTATTCTCTCTAAAAATGGACAATGAAGTGAATTATTAAATGTATCTATTGGTGATTTTCAATTATTTTCTAAATTGAAACAAAAAAAGGATAAAAGACTTTCTCTTTTTAAATGTATTCCTTCTATTAATATCAACATGATCCTCATGTTGCTTTTTATTTCTTTGGCACTATAGTCTATTTCTAATAAAAGTACATCAAAAAGCCACTTGAGAAGCAGAAACAGCAGACTCTCAACCTGCTGGAGAATATATTAAAGGGCAATCCGCCAAGCAAGCTGGCTCTTCCAATAATGAACTCATCCCCATTTATTCAAGTTAAATGATAGGCAATTTTGTGGTTCATTTTATAACCATGTTTTATTGTTTTCTCCTAAGTGATCAACACAGAGTATGAAATATTGCTAAATTTTTATGAAAGTCTATTTTAAATTGTTTCAAATACACAAGATAACCCCCATTAAACAGTCCAATTCATGTAGATGACAATAATTATATAGTAATAAGCTTCATCTCAATGGCAACACAATTGGTAAGAGTTATTGAAAAGCCAAACCAGGCAATAATTTAAGACCTTTATTTGGACAATTTAATAGTAAAGAAAACATGAATCTTCTTTGATCATGACCATCAAAGCAACATTCCAAATAATGCATCAATCTTATACAGCGCTTTGTTCGAATCTGCTTAAAAATCTAGGCTGCTGAATGTCTCGCCCAAATCAACAATGAAAACAGGGAGCTTACCTTCTGGCAAACTGCAGCTGTAAAACTTGTTAAAGAAAACTGACAATTTTACCTAGTGACACTTGTCTGAAGACAAAACTCACTTAAAAATAATGAGTATTCAATATACATATAGGCAAGATCCTAATTCCTAGAATGCAATATTCAGTTTCATCTACAACATACATGTAACCGTGATAAAGAGTTTCACTGTTACTCCTATTTATAACATGTACCAAGAGTCAAAATATTCATTTCTCTAAATTAAAAAGGTATCTGATTAAATATATAATTAATATTAAATTTGAAGCCCTGACCGGTGTGGCTCAGTTGGTTGGGTGTCATCCCACAAAGCAAAAGGTCACCCTAGTTAGATTCCTGGTCAGGGCATGTATGGGAAGCAACAGATTGATGTTTCTTTCTCACATTAATGTTTCTCTACCTCTTTCTTCCTCTCTCCCCGCTATAAATAAATTAATTGATTAATTTTAAAAATTATTCAAAAATTAAATTCTAAGAATAAAGATAATATGAAACTAATCAAAAATACCTTAAATCCTGCATATGTCAGAACCCCCAAAACAACCTGTCTTTACTTCTCAAACAGTCCAGACCTTAATTCCATCAAACAAGAGTTAAGTTCTTACTAAAATGATACGAAACTATATTCGGTGAGTAATAAAGAAAGAAGACAGGGAGAACATAAAATCTAGAATTCCCATCTCAAGCTGCCAGTATTTTTTGCTCATAGCAAAAAATAATTCCTTCAAGTTTTCATCTTCTATAAACTCCTGCTTGTATCACAATACAGCAAATGTTTGTTCGTAGTAAGTCTGCATCCTCCTCTATTAGAATGCAAGCTTCTAGAGATTAAGGAGTATACTGTATTTATCCTAAACTACTGCAGTCTTTTTTTGCAAGAAAGAAAAGCTCAAAAAACAAAACTCTGCCCTTTAGAAAGAGGAACTAATAAACAAAGAAATGGTCAGAATTATATAAAAAGAAACCAAGTTAGAAAGCCAAACTAACTGCAACACTGGTATTTCAAGGTGTACAGCAAATTACTACATACTTGAGGTTCAACAAATACATATTTTAGGCAAATGCCAAATATATATATTTTTAAATCCATATTTACTTACAGTTGAGACAGAAGCTGAGTACATCACAGAACGAAAATTCAAGAATTGAAAGTTTTACCAATTTTTAGTAACTTATTCTAACAATTTCGATTTTAAAATTCGGCAAATTTTAGAAAAGTAAATGATTTTCCTGCTTACTTGTGTAATTTACCTAAAAAAGATTATACCATTTCTTCCAAAAATGACATAAAACACATACAGCAATAAGCATCTCAATGGCAACATGATTAGTACATAGAAGTGACAGCCTGTTTTCCTATGTAACTAATTAGAAGTACTTGTAATAACTTTCTGTGCAGTCTTTGTAAGCAAAGATATTACCCTTGTAGTAATACACATTTATAGGTAAAACAGATGATAGTTTCAACAAATGAGGCACGAGAAACTTCAATGACATATTTCTTAATGTAAAAAACAATTTAAACACGAGTAGCAGATCTCAACATCATAACTTGATTTTATTCCCTAACCACACAAAGCAGGTATGACGGCAACAACACAAACACATACGCTCAGGACACCAGAAGCGACACTGCAGCTGGCCTCGAGTGACTGCCAAAGGTGAACTACACTGAAGCTGTACTTCAGTGACCTTCTGAAAATATATGTGTCTTTTTATGGAAGAAATTTTATTTTTATGGGAGAGAAATAATTCAGGGTAAGTGTCCTCACACAAGATGAGGGAGGATGGAGGATCAGTTATACACACCATTTTCACACTGCCAAGGAATTAACCAGAGGCCAACTGCGCACAGGTGCTCTCCAGGTGCCTGAGCACAGGGTGACTGTGCGCCTCAGAGCACGTGGTGTGTACCTGGTACGAGTGGAAAAGACCCACTGATGAAAAAGCTTATGACACCTTAAGAAAACCAAAATCAATAACAAACATAAAATAAATGCTAAAATAAGGAGACCAGCAGTCTTTATCACGAACATGTAATAATAGTACACCAGCTGTTTACTGTGCTTGTTAGAAACACTTCCTACTTTAAGCCTGTAAATACTGCCCTCCAAAAGATAATATCAATACCTTACATTTCTTTAAAAAATCATAAGTAAAGTTAAAAATTCAAAGGGAAAAAACAGTAAAAGGATATCATCGCATTTCTTCTGATATTCTGTTAACAAATTACTGAAACAAAAAAAGGAATTGTTATGTTAAAACTGTTTTAAAATATGCACAGCACCTTTCTTCCTATGCAAAGAATTTGTTTAATTATATATACATGTATTACCCTAAATTCCTTAAGAACAGTGCACTGATATATGAGCTTTTCACTTAAAATCCCTCTGATCTGACATCTTAGCCTATCAATCACGTGACTTCTACAGAATTAAAATCAAATCAAATCCCGCACTACAGCTCTGAAGTACTGGGAGGGAATCTGAGGCCCTGCCCTAAAGCTAAGAAGGCTCTGAAGACAGAAAACAGCTTTTAAAAAATGTTCAGCTTGGCAAAAACCATTTCCTGGGCCATGAGTCTTGTAAAAGCCACTAACGGAAGGTCAGCAGCTAGGACGGCAGTGGCACCGCCTTCGGGCCACCACCACGCCGGCCTCAGAAGAGAAGCCCCCGCTCGCCTTCCCAGCCCAGGCGCTGACGGCGCCCCCGCTCGGCGTGCCTGCCCTGCCAGCCCACACAGCTCAGCCAAACACAGGGAACATACTCACTCTGTGTTGATGATTTTTTGCTTCAAGGTAATTAATGCTTCAACATATTCATTTAAATTCTGAAAGAAAAAAAAAACACTACAGTCAGCTACTTGTTTTTACGTAAGTTACTTTAAATATGATTTTACTGAAACATGTCATTTATTATAAACATATTGTTTACTCTACTCACATAAATGCAGAAATATGTGAATCTATTATTTCCATTGTGTCTAACACAGAGACATATGCTGAGCCCACACTGTCTCTGTGCATCTCTTTTACCCGAATGATGGACTCCACAGCAAGGTAGCTGCACAGATGAGCAGTGCACCCAGTTTCCACTGCGTAACACCAGCAAGCTTGGAAATCAGCGACACCAGTTCCCTCTCAGCCATGCCTCACAGAAACTGGTCCTCCCTCATGTAGCAGGAGCTTTGCTTTTTGAAGAAGTCTCTTCCTGGAACACTGTGAACACCTGGAGCAGGTGGACTAGAACAGTGACGGAGGGACAGGATACACCCATGCACAACGGCTGCCTGCTTCTTCTCCCCATTAAGCTCCCAGATGGTGGCAGCCAATCTTGACGTTCTCCAGGCAGAGACCAGAAACAGTTTCTCTGAGGATCTGAGGAACTCTAACCAGTCTGAGGATAAGATCTAATGGTACTGACATCAGATATTATTTAATCCATAAATGGCCCAATCTGACCTACTGCAATAAAGCTCAGAGAGAAATTTATAACATGAAGCCAAAAAAACTTGGAGTAAGCAAAAGCTGAGAAGAAAGCTTCAAAAAAATTAATACAATTTGAGATAAATTAAATTCATGAAACAGGAAGCTGTTTTTAAAAGGAATAATCAGAGCTCTGAGAAATTAAAAGAAAAAGCTCTTTAGGATTATAAACATCCACTAGTATGGCTAAAATCAAAATGACAGGCAATAACAAGTGTTGGAAAGGATGCAGAGAAATTGGAACCCTTATACATTGCTGGTGGAATATAAAATGGTGCAGCTGCTGTGGAAAATAGTTTGGCAGTTCCTCAAAATGTTAAAGAGAGTTAACCATATGATCTAGCAATTCCCCTCCTAGGTATATACCCAAGAGAATTGAAAACACATGTCCAGGCCAAACTTGTACACTCTTATTTATAGCAGTATTATTCACACCAGCCAGAAAGTAAAAATAAACTCAACGTCCATCAACTGATGAACGAATAAACAAGATGTCATACAGACACACAATGTGATTACTAGGCAATGAAAAAGAATGAATGACACCTGCTACCACATGTATGAACCTTAAAACATTATGCTAAGTGAAAGAAGCCAGACACAAAAGGTTATATGCTGTATGATTCCATTCACATAAATTGTTCATAACAGGCAAATCCAGAGACAGATTAGTGGTCTTGGGGGATGGGGGGGATGGCAGGTAATGGAGGACAGAGAATGACTGCTAATACAGGGTGGGGCAAAAGTAGGTTTAGTTGTTCGTATGAAAAAATACAATAATTAATAAATAATAATACAAGAATAAACTCTGTGTTCACATACTCACAACTGTAAACCTATTTTTGCACCACCCAATATTTAAGAAGTTTCTTGGCAAGGACACAGGGGTGTGTTGATGAACCTATTTCACAATTACATAGTGGTGACAAGATGAGATAACTGCGAACATACTAAAAACCACTGAATTATACACATTAAAAAGATGACTGTTATGGTGTATAAGTTATATCTCAATAAAATTGTTATCATTAATTAAAAACAGGGAAACAAAATAAAAGATTTGATGATAAAGTTGAAAAAAACTGTCCCCCAAAATAAAACAAATCACAGCCCTGGCTGGTGTGGCTCAGTGCATTGAGCATGGGCCCGTGAAGCAAAGGGTCGCTGGTTCAATTCCCAGTCAGGGCACATCCCTGGGTTGCCGGCCAGGTGCCCAACAGGGGGTGCGTGAGAGGCAACTACTCACTGATGTTTCTCTCCCTCTCTTTCTCCTTCCCTTCTCCTCTCTAAAAATAAATAAATAACATCTTTAAAAAAAAATAAAGCAAACCACAGACATGGAAAAGGATAAAGAAAAATAAAAACAATTAGAGTGTCAGGGTAAGAGGTCCCACATGCCCAATGACAAGAATTCCAAAGAGAGAGAATAATAGAAAAGATGCGGAGATAAAGAAATACTGATGTTCAAGAAAAAAAATCCCAGAAACAAAGCCAGAAGTTTCCAAATTAAAGGGTCCAACACTGGGACACAAATAGGATCCAAACCATGACACAGCAGTATACAAGTTGAGAACATTAGACACAAAGCAAAGAGCCTCTAAGTATCCTGAGAGAAAAAGACAATGATACAAGTCATATATATACAAAGACTGTGGAATCAGAATGGCTTCAGACTTCAACAGCAATCCAGAAAACGAGAAGTCTAGAGACTAGAAGTCAAGCCTTCAAAATTTGGAAGATAAATGAATTCCAAGTAAAACTCCGTATGAACTATCAGTCAATAGTGATAGTAAAAAGCGTATTTTCAAATCCGCTAAATCTCCATAAACTTACTTCCCAGACATCCTTGCTCGGGGAGGTACTGGAGGATATGAACAGGCTCCATGGAAACCATGGATAACCCAACAGAGGACAATGCGGGGCGTAGAGCAGAGGGAAAGAGAATCTAAGGCGGCAGCTGAGTGCCAGATTAGAGCTGAAGGCTCAGGAGGGAATTTTTCCCCTACGATGAAAACAACAGAATTATCTGCTGGAAGAATGAAAGCATGAACAGGATATTTAAGCCTAACTGTCAGAGAAGTGCAAGCAAGTGTATGGAGCTGCTTTCCATCATGCATTTAAATCATGATCTTTTTGTAAAAGCGATTCTTCCTTTTTCATTCTGTTCCAAGTTCTTCTAGTCGATCTCATCTTCCCCACCTTGCTTCCAGATGCCATCTGTAATGTGAAGTACTACGCCAGAGGCATTCCAGGGACCTCAGACCGCAGAGTCACACACAGCTGGATTCAAAATTCCTGTTCCTCCACTTTTTGTCAGAGTGACCTCGGGCAATCTTACTTGACTTCGCCCTGCTTCAGAGCCATTTCTAACTGCACAGATAAGGAGACAAACACTGGGAGGCCACAAAACTGGTTTGCTGTCAGGATTCAACAGGATGAGCCAAAATGTTTAACCCAGCCCTCAGCATAATGTAAGCACTTCTTAACATTCTTTAAGATGAGTACACCGGATTAAGGATGTAATCAATAACCAGGGGAAACCAGAAAACACAGGAAAGGAAAAGGGATCGTAATTTACTTGAGAGCTTAGCTGTGAATAACATATAGTTAGGTCAGCTGCCTTAGTGACCTACCTGAAATCTCAACTACACTGAAGACCTGGGGGCAGAGAAAGGCTGCTTGACAGATGGGGTGGGACAAAGGGCAGAAAGGGAGCTCAATTCTCACCTTCCAAAGTCAAAAATCCAATGACAAGCCTAAAAACGAAAAGCAAGGAGCAGCAACGCAAGTCTATTCTTTAATGAAATGTAAGTTCATTACGAAACCCACACTGTGCAAACAATTAAAAGCACTGTCTGTTGGGAAGGGGCATGAGTGGGGCGGGGGCTGTCTTAACAAATCTTGTATATCGAGCTGTCATTCTAAACTACATTCATGTATAACTAATAAAAATAAAACCCCAGCCCTGACTGCTGTCGCTCAGTGGATTGAGCATGGGCCTGCAAACCAAAAGGTCGCTGGTTCAATTCCCAGTCAGGGCACATGCCTGGGTTGTGGTCCAGGTCCCCCGGAGGGGGCATGTGAAAGGCAACCATACACTGATGTTTTCCTCTCTATCTCCTTTCCCTCTCTCTAAAAATAAATAAATAAAATCTTAAAAAAAAAACAACCCTAAATTCACAAGACATAGCATTATACAAGGAAATAAAACCCCACTAAATGAAGATGACTTCTCAGTTTCCTACAGCATTCTAATCTAGCCCCCGACTAACTTTTTTCCTAAGGCCTGGTTGGGTGGCAGAACAAATTTGATCAGATACTGTAGAGTCCTAAAAAACATTCTATTTTCTCCAATCTGATTCAAATGTCACTTACGTTAATTGCAACAAAGATCTTCAAATAATGAATCTCACGGTTGTGAACACTGCGCAGTCTGCGTTTATTCGAAGGGTCCCTGGAGCCCCTTCCAACCCACATTCACTGTCAGGCACACGCACAGGGCCCTCATACTGCCTGGCCTCCAGGAAAGGAAGTGAGGTTCAGCATACCCTTCTCTCCAGGAAAAGGTTAAGGTGGTGTGGTTTCTTTGGTTACTGCTTTTCTACCAGCAGCCCTGCTTTCTTCTTTGAATTTCTATTACAATACCTGCTGGAAGGCTCAGATTTACTCCCAATTCTCTCTTCTTCTCTCCTCCCATCACTACCATCTTTTCTCTTTCTTTTCCGGTTGGTTGAGTTCCTCAAGCTATGCTGTATACTTACTCACTGGGCCACTAACACAATTCTCAAAGGAGCCCATTACTCAGACTTTCTGTTCCCCTTTCACTCCTTTTGTATAATGTACAGTTTAAATTTTATCCACACAGTCCTTCCTAATTGGCACTGTGAATATGCAGCACTGGAGAAAAAGAAACCCACTCTGCGCTTCCCATCTTCCTTTCCCTTCTTGGGGAGGTAGAATCAACACAGTGGCTGAGCCCACAGGACGAGGGGAGGGGGCAGCAGGACAGCCACTGGCGAAGAGCAAGCCAGCAACCTGGCCAGGGTAGTTTATGAAATGGCAATACTAAATAAATAAATACAATCTGTAGATACACAGCAAATAAGTAAAGAGATAATGTGGGTAAAAGTCAACTGCCTGAGTGGCTGCTCCTCTAACACTGCTATCATTCTGGGCTTGAAGACCCGTATTTGTGGGAGCTGTCCCGTGCGCTCTGGGATGTTTGGCAGCATCCCTCCCAGGTCTCTACTCACTAGCTGGCCAGAGCACCCCAAGCTGTGTGTGCAAAACAGTTGCCAGAGGAGGACAGAGACCGCCATCCTTAGAAAAGTTTGCTTGCAAGGCA